TATCAAAATCACGGACAACCTCTTCGACTAGGATGGTCTATTGGGGGGCGAGAAAAAAAGGAGGTTGACATATGGGCATACGTTGGAGAGGATTCTCTGGGGGGACATGTCGTACAAAATTGGAAGGGAAAAATAGTTTGCAGAGGAAGGCAACTCAGAATTTGCTTCTTTTCCTCCTTTTGCTTCTTTCTGGACGAACCTTATTTTCGATATTTTGCGACTTGTGCATGTTGTGAATAAGAATCCGCACACGTTCGTTTGATTTCGTCTCGAACAAATGCGTTTTGGAAGTTGCCTTTGGCTATGCCATATAGCATACATCATTTTAATGTTTTCCGAGGAATCAGTTGGGGATTTATCTGCCTCTCATGGTACGTGTGGCGCAGTGGTCGTCTCTACAGTTACGCCTTTGTGCAGCAATGCATTTATTTTATTTATTTCGCGTTCTCCTTCACCAGGGAAAGGGCAAAGTGATTCCTTTCTTTTACACGGTTGACAAAAAGAAGGGAACAGATTTGGGAGGGCTGTTTGTACCAATGGAGGGGGAACCATTTAAACCGGGGGGGAGTGTTCTCCATAAATTTTTCTTTTTTTTTTTTTAATTTTATCTTGCCCACTTTTTTTCCATCGAACAGAGCTTATGGAAGTATTTTATACGCGTTTGTTTCACAAAATGGTAGGCCAATTTTACTGCTTCATTCTTTTTGAGAAAATAAAAATGATCCTCCTTCTACCATCGAGTTTATGACCACATGGTGCACATCCAAAGTTACCCGTTTGATATATTTTCACAGAAAAAACAGTGTCATGGATAGGCATTTAATATTTTACCACCAACCCTTCCCGTTGCAGAGTTTTTTTTTTTTTTAATCCCGCAAGCCAACATATCCGTCTAAGATGATCGAAGGAGCACTTCCCCCATGCTAGGTGGGAGAATGTAACGAACCAGCAAAGGTGATATGTTAAGATGTCCCTATTTCACCGGATGACACGTCGCATATTGTCACTTCCTTTATACATCATGGGGACATATTTACTCTTCTTTTTATCCGTCGTCTCAGTTTGACCACTCAACTGTGTGACTTCCCTGTCGTTCGCGGCGGAGTGATGACCACAGTTATGGCGCTAACACATGAATGGATAGTTCCATTTTCGCATCGGGTAGTGGAAAAACAATGAAGAAGGAACTTATAAGAACAACATCTCAGTGAATTCACTTCACAATGTAACTTTTGCCTTGTCTTGACTGATGAACAGAAAGGGACGCATGCAATGCCACATGTGCGTGGCCTTCTTCATTCATTTCTCTCCTTTAAAACTATCCCCAACTGATGCTACATCCTTCAGACCTCTCATATGATAAAAAGAAAAAAAAAAAAAAAAAGGGGGGGGAGGCTTCCACTCGTGAGAAACATTTAGTAATGCAATTCGAGTGGAAAAGAGATGCCTCAAAATGGTCAAACGTTGTTTCCTCTTTCGTGGTTAACATTTTTTTTTTCCTCCTAATAGGAAATTTAAAATGAGTTAAGAAAAAAAAAAAACTCTGCAATTTGTTAAAAATGCAATTCGCTTTTTTGCCTCCCCCCGAATTTGCCATTTGCCTATGCATAATGTGCAAAAGGGTTATGTGCACCTATTTTTTTTTTTTTAACTGATAAAAAAAGAAAAATAAATATTACTTCCTGTTGCGACGATAATTTCAAATGTATTTATCAAAATATGGGGTGTGACAACGTCGGCTAGTGGAATTCTGGGGATTTTTTTTCCTTTTCATTTTGCCCACTTCTACGCTTCCCCTTTTCTATTTTGCGCGTCTTTGCTGTGAACCCCCCCCAGGAGGATACATCAAAAATAACACCAGGTTCGATGCAGTGAATTTTTAAAGTGTCAAAAAAATAAAAAAAGATGCCACTATGTGTGATGCACCGTGGTATGTGGCCCTATGTAGAGCTTGGCCTCCTGTGTAGAAAGGCAACGGGGGGCGTTAAAAAGATGGCAGCGCCCCGCTACACGGTTGGTCATGCGGTTCGTAAAGCGGATCGTAAAGTATATCGTAAAATGGACCATAAAGCTGATCGTAACGCGGATCGTACAGTGGGCCGACCGTAAAACGGACCTCCTCGCTGCTCCTATTGCTGCGGTGATTGCTACTTTTCTTGTGCCTATCCGGGGTGCTTCCCTTGTTCCTGCCATCTGAACCCGTTAAACCCTTCCTTCAGATATGCTCATTTGGCCCCCTTTCTAATTATTCCCCAGGGAGCGCCCCAAACGGCAGAAAATAAAAAGAAAAATGTGCAGAGATTGCGAAGATACATATGCAAGTAACACACAGTGATCATCACAGCGAGTGGGAAGCATGATTTTCCTTTTTTTAACTCTTGCGGGATGTACAGAATAGGAACTAGACCCCTATGTAGAGTTCAGATTGATGGGAAATCACCATCTGCAACATATCGCATTGTTTTATTTTTTTTCCTTTACAAACGGATCGTCTAAAAGTAGACGTCTTGTGAAAGGGAGTACGTCGAGAGGGTTGACATTTTAATGAGATGCAAATTTAGAACATCTTCATTTTTGAGGTCGCGGGGAACATGGGCCCACCGTTGTCGCCTCTCGTTCACGTCATAACCGCAGTGTGTTGTTCACTTTGCTTTGACCATACGTTTGTGCGACTGAGAGGTAATCAAAAAAAGTGGTTCATTCTGCTTCCCCTTTCTCTTCCCTTTTGCTTCAGCTTTTTCCCCCCAGCAGCGGTGCGTCTATGAAGGCATATTATAGCCAAAGGGGGTTCGCCATTCTCAGCTTCCACAAAGGGAAATACCAAGCCCTGATTCCTGTCTGTACATCTTACACACATTCATGTGCATGCGTTTATGATTGGCCCCCACCTCTGTCGAGATGCTCAACCCTATGGGCGAAGAAGCTTCCACCCTAGTGATGGATGAACTTACAGACATATGCGAGTACAGCAGTAACGAAGAAGCAAATGTAGTCTACATAAAAGATTCCAATCAGTTTGTAAAAAAAGTGGAGTATGAAGAAGATGAGACAATTCGAGACGTCCTTACACGCAACGGGATCCTTAATGGACAGGATGGTTTTCTATACCAAGTTAGAAGCCATCTACTGGATCTCGATAAAACCTTTGCGCATTATAAAATTTGTTCAGGTGAAATTATCTACATTTTGCCTGAACCGGCACCCCTGCCTTATTTGATTTATCTCTTCCATCAGAAGTCTGGGAAGGTGCACGTAAGTTTGTTAGGGATCGTGAAGAATATATCGCGGGTTATTCGTTAATACAAATTTGTCTCGTACTACATAAGCAATGTTTAGGCTGACTACCTTCACACACGTAGGCACACCCGTTTCTTCTCATCGATGCAATTTTTCCCACGCAGTACATCGAACTCAGCCACATGGATTCTGTCGACCTGCTGCACAAACAAGTAGAGAAATTTTTGCAAATAAAAGAAGAGAACCAGATACTGATATACGGTGGCAAGTGCCTGAACAATACGAAGACGTTAAAGGAGGAGCAAATGTGCAGGGAGAGCCTAGTCACCATACTGGATAAGAGGGACATACCCAACATAGAGACTGGGGACGATGGGGTGTGAAGTGCGGTGAGCGTACGTTCCGGATGCATACCTTGGGTAATGGCCCTCCGCGCCGCGGAACGGTGAAAAGGTGTAAGGCAAAAATGAAAGCAATAATTTTGAAACGAAACAGATAGACCAAAATACACATTGCTGCTTAGGGACAGGCCGGGGAAACCGCTTCCTTTCTATGAGAGGAAAAGAAATCTCGCTCCACGTAAATTGTTTCTCACTCTGTACGTGCCGGTGTGTCCCATCCACATATACCCCCTGTTTTTTTTTTTTTTCCTTTTTAAGTATAAAACTTCTTTTCCTTTTTAAGCCCTACATGCGGCAAGAGTGAGAAAAAGAGAAAAAAAAAAAAAAAGAAAAAAAAGGAGCATATGCAACGATCTGTGGTTTGTCTTTCTCCCTCGTTTCGCCGCCAAACAAAATTTTGCGTCCTTTTCAATTGTAAGGTATGGTATTATTTGGCACAGATTTCCTCTTTCTGGCGCGACCTTTTTCTCAGCTGGGAAAAATTTGCACTGAGCGAGAGCTACGAAATGGATGTCCCCGATTACACTTCACGGTGGAGAATAACTCAATTGAAGGGGGAAAAAAAAAAGTTAATGCCGCATAGGGTCACACTTACATTTGTTCAGTTCACCTCAATAAATGAGTTTTCCCCTGTTGGTTAATTTCCCCTTACGTCATTTTGAGGGGCTCAGTCGTTTTGGCTGACTGATTTGGAGTCTTCCGAGAAATGAAGGGGCCCAGACGAGGAAGAAAAACGGCGAACGTAGAGCGGTGTGGAGGGAAGAATAAAATTACAGACGTGGAAAAAACAAGTGACGAAGTGGTAAAGTAGCCAAATGACAAAGTGGGAAGCATATACTGCAATGTATATGAGAAAGAACCCCGGACGTTGTCCCCAGGCCATATGCTCTCGCATGCGCATGTGCACAATGTTAATTGTACGTCCTTTTTCTTTTTTTTAGTTGCCCTGGCGTGATAAGGTACACCCACGCGGAAACGGTTTCGAAAAAAAAAAAAAAGATAGGAGTAGGAATAATAATCGGGCAAACAAATGTCGAGGAATAAATTTTGGAAAATCGGGTCATTCCCAACTTCTAAATATGCTGAAACGGCGCAAACAAGTTGAGAGGGAGATGGTAAGAAGCGCTTCTTTCGCTTCTGCACAATCTTATACAAGTTACGTACGCGTGCGAAAGAACGATTAACGGATGGTTTATCTACATTAAAGAGAGGGGAAGAAAAAATCACCTGACTTGGTCATACAAAAAAATTATTGACTCATAAAAAATATTCCAGTAGAGGCTAGGCTCCACATTTGTTCCCAAAGGGACTCAGAAATATGCCTTAACGGACAGAAGCAGGAAAAGTACATACTTCAGCATTATGATGAAAAGCTATTTATCGGAGGAAGATAAATTGAAGTTAACCATAAAAAAAAACTACTTGCTGAGAGATGCCATTAGGACGAAAATTTTGAACGACCTGAATAGGTTGTCGTACCTTTGCTCAGGTATGTACGGCACAGGGTAGCTCAGGGGGGCAGGCGTTTCCCTGAAAAAATGTGCCACCACCACTCCAGGGCATCCTCCCCTCCCCAGCAGTTTGTTCGTTCCGAGTTTGTTTTCATATGCAACTTTGGCGCATTAAACTCGTTTTCATATTGTCCCATGTTGTTCCCATTTTGGTATATTTTTTTTTTTTAAGATGAGAAAGACGAGCTGAACAGAAGGGAAAGACAAAAGCAGGGATTCATCGGGGAGAGCTTGGTAAGCACACATATTTGCTGCGGTGTTTTCTGCGCACCTTTTTGGAGCGCCTTCTCATCTCACCCTGCTGGCCTGGGCTTCCCATCGAGGAAAGACAAACTTCCCACTGCTCTGCAAAATTGGGAGGGGAACCTTCCTATTCTCAGGTGCAATCTCTCGCCCTTCATCCATCCATACGAAGCGTTAAAGAAAAATGTCACTTGGCCAACGCGGATTGTACCACGATTTACAATTTTTTCCCATATTGTTGACATTCTTCCCATTATTACCATTTTTACGATCCTTAGGAGTACTTTCCCGAATTCAAGGTAGAGAAGCGGGTAAGTTGAGAAACCAGTAGAAAGGCGTGTGCGTATAAGTGTAGCCTCCCCCCTTGGCGTGCATGCACACACATCAGTTCGTAGCCTCGTAGGAATAGACGCCTCCATTGCATCAACTTTTCAGCCCAAGCTAGAGGAAGATGAAACGACGGTGACGAGAAACAGGAGGCTTCTGCAAGTGGGCCTGTTTGAGCATTTGAAAAAAGCCAAGGATGCCCTGGAACAGGAAAAAAGCAATGAAACGGTCATCAGGCAGCAAATGCAAAATAAAAGAGTGGAACAAAAATTACAGGAAGAAAAGAAAAAATTTGAAAAATACCAACTTGACTATATAGAAGAAAAAATCATTACACACATTAAAGAAATAAAAAATGTGGACTCTCAGATAAAAACAGACGAAGCGAAGCTGATGAAATTAAATTTAATTAATCATTATGAGAAGATGAAGAATTTCATAAGTACCAATTGCCAGCCAACTATTTTTTGGTGCCCTTTTAAATTTGACTCCAAAACGGAAATGCTGCAAAAGGAGACGGACAATTTTATTAGAAAAAAAATCGACGCAATTAAGGAATCGAATTATGAGGTGGACTTTCAGGAAGAGCCTTGGCTGCGCCAGTTTCAAAACTTAAAAGAAATGGTGCGACGACGCAACGGGGCAGCGGGAGAAGAGACGGTAGAGAAGGACGCGCTGGAGCACGCAGAGGAGGCAGACGAGGAATCAAAGCAAGACGATGAGAACGAGGACAACGGGGAAGACAGGGAACACCTCGCGAGAGAGAAATCCCCCAATGGAAGTCACTACACTGATGAGAAAGAGAAAGAGAAAGATACGCAGGGCACCCCCAAGAAAAGCACCAGTAATGACACCGACGTGAACACATTCCAAAGGGGTAATACCTTCCCTGGAGGGGGCTGTAAAGGCAGTGACGAATTTTACCCCGACAGCATTGGCTATGAGGACTTGAAATGTAGGGAGGCGCGCGAGGCAAACGAGGCGCATGGCGCGGATGGAGCAGGTGAGCCAAACGAGACCATCGAGCTGGATGAAGCGAACGATACGATCGAACTGGATGAAGCGAATGTGACGAACGAAGCGGACGAGGCCAACGTCACGAATGAAACGGATGAGGCCAACGTCACGAATGAAACGGATGAGGCCAATGTGACGAACGAAGCGGACGAGGCCAACGTCACGAATGAAACGGATGAGGCCAATGTGACGAACGAAGCGGATGAAGCCAATGTGACAAATGAAACGATCGGTGACAATGACGCCCAGGGGGAAGACGCCGACGCGGTTGAGAAAAATGCGGGGAAAAAAAAAAGGGGAAGGCCCAAAAGAAAAAGGAGGTGAAGGGCTGGGGGAATATCAGGCAGGGATCCCGTGGTGGCGCTCACAGGTCGCAATGGAAAATGTACATCATATATAAATAGATACATATACCTGACATGGAAAATTGCGATGTGGGCTGAAACGAGAGGCCAAACGGGTCGCAAGGGGAAGCACGCAGCATAAGTGTAGCAGTAGCAACAGCGACTGCAACTGCGACGGCGCTGCTGGTATGGCCTGCGCGCGAGGCGGCCGTCGGGTCATTCACATCCACCTGCCTTTTTAACCAGAACGCCATTCCCCCACTGCTTCTTTTTAATGTTTACGATTTTTTTTCTTTTTTTTTTTCTTTATTTTTTTGTCCTTAGCTTTCTTAATTCGTATATGATAGGTTACAAACATGTGCACGCATAAATGTGCGCGTATTTTTTTTTTTTTTTTTTTTTTTTGTAACTCGCCTTTGCGCGTAAGCGTGCCGGGTGATGGAGCAGTGTAGTGTAGACTATAATGTCAAACTGGGTGTAATAAATACGCAGCGATTGATCAAATTGGAGAGAGCAATCTGCTGCTGGCAGAGTACCCATGCGCAGTGTTCATATGTGTAATAATGCGGGATGCGGGCATTATGGGCCCCAGTAACACCCCCGGTGGCGGATGCTCACTCATGGGGAAAAAGAAGCCTCACATAGGTACACCTTTGCGTGAACGTCGCATAAAAGTGCAGCTTTATGTGAACACCCCAAGGTAAACAGCCCACCGCTGAAACCCCACGGATAACACCCCACCTCTCAAAGTTCCTGCAAAATCCACTCGGTAACTTCCGCCAGGGGGTCCTTATTCTCCACTTTCAAGCCGCGTAAAAACGAAGAAACGCTGTCCTTGGAATACTTTACATCATTGTTAAAAATAAATTTTAACTGTTCCACTAAGTTGACGTCTAAGCAGTCGGAAAAAATATTTCCATCTTTAATCATCCCATCCGATACGTTAAAAAAGATCTCGAGTTTTCCAAAATTGAATTGTCTACATAGTCGGTTTTGAAACTTGGGAGTTTTCCCATAGCACCAATCCCAATCTTTCAGCAAATTGAGATATTTTAGAAATTCTGGATTTTTCGTAATGCTTTCATTTGTATCTATGTAATGGATATTGAAATGGTTTGAGATGGGGGACGAGATGTCGACTAAATTGTCTGTACTTTTTTCCCTCTTGTTTAGGTTGGCGGTGAGATGGCCGTTGGGCTGTCCTAGTGACGTGGCACCGCTGTCCCCACAGGTGTAGTCTTCCACATGTAATGTAGCAGCGTTGCTCCCTTCCCCCTCTGTGTCGGATACCCCCTTTTTGTAAAATGCTTCAAATTCTTTAATCAGCGCGCAGCATAAATTCTGGCAAGTAATATTCTGGTTTATCTCCTTCAAATTGATTGTCCGCGCATTAACACTAGACACTCCATGTTTTATATATTTCATCTTATCCGGAGTTAAGTACATTTTTAAAACGTCCTTCTCTAGATTCACCATTATAGTCCCGTGGTGAAGGAACACATTTCTCACTTTCTTAAATGCAGAGCCTGAGCACTTGCGATCATTCACAGTTATGTCATTTCTTCCCTGCTTCTTCGCATCAATGGAGAAGTGCCTTTTCAGAGTTTTTAAAATGATGGAGAAATTATTATCTGTATTGAGGGTATTATTCAAGAAGGTAAAACAGACATTTTCCAGATCGTGGTAGACGGCTCCTCCACCTGTGAATCGACGAGCCACCTGGACATTATCTTTTTTTATATTTTCTAAATTGCATTCACTCCAGATATTTTGGTTTTTTCCGATTATAATTGATCTGTTGTTTCTCCATAAGAACAAAACAGGGTCGTCATATTTTTCAATTGTGTTTACATTTAAGTATTTCAACAAATCGCTGTAATTATTTAGTAGGAAGTTTTCTAGGGATAAATTAAAATGTATATTTTGATTGTTCGAAATAAGGATCAATGGGTTCGCGCTTTTCGTCCTTTCGGATGAGTACCACCTTTTCAGGGCCACATTCATTCGCTGCTTCATTTTGCGGGGTTATCGGTCTCGTTTCGGCGTCCGCCTGCGTCAGGTGTGCCTTTGGTCTGCTTTGCTTTGTAGAGAAGTAGCGGTGGATCTCCTGCTGGAAAAGCCGTTGTCGTGAGTGCTCCGCGGGGCTTTTCTTTGGCTGCTTCACTGTTGCGCGCTCCGTTTCATTTTATGTTAATTTGTTTGCTATGCTGGGCTATGTTCCGCTCTGCTATGCTTTCCTGTGCTTTTCTCTGTTTTTGTTTGCTATGCTTCATTAGGCCTTATTTTTCCTGCTGCATTTTTCTCCATTTTTGAAAAGTGGTTCCCTATGTGTGCTTCGCGTTGCCCCATGACCGACTTCCACCGGTGTGACAACACGGCTAGCAGGCAGGTCCGGGATGGGCGCCACGGATGTATATGGTACTAACTGGTCATTGTGGGGTAGCTAGCAGGCGAATGGGCGGAAGGGGGCATTCCATTCCTCACAGTTCGGGGGTGCACAACGTCCTTGCCCTATGCTAGTGCGGTGAACTGTATCAGGGGAAAAGCTGCATAAATGGAATGCGCATTTCTGGTTAAACTGCCGCGCAAATCCGCCGCGATGATGCTCACATAAAAAGTTCCCTGCTTCCCCGTTTCGCGCGGGGATTCATTTTAATGCCCCCTCATATGTACCAATAAAGTGTAGCATTTTTTTCCTTTTCTTTCTTCATTTTGTATAAATACGTTACATACTTCGCAGGAACGCATGACGAATGCGATTGCAGCATTGTCACTGCGTAGTCTGCCAATCAGTTAATCATTAAATTAGTTGACTTTTGTTTCTTTTTTTGGGGGACCAATTTGTGCAGCTTATTCGTGTATTCCCCTTGCGAATGAGATTTCCTTTTTTTCCCAACCCAGCTAGTTTATGTATGGTTACGCACGATAACGTTTGTTTGTAAAGGAAGGCACTGAGATTTATCAGGAGCATAGCTAAATTGAGTTCACACCTTTATCGCCGCAGCAGGGTGGAACACGCAGAAGCATACTTATGCGCACACGCACGTTTGGGGGGTACACACCTCCTAGGGGGATTAAAACAGGAACCACCGGAATTAGGGTGCGATCGCGCAGGCGTGGGAGCCCCCATACGTACATACAGACGTAGACACGTATACACATACATATATATACATATGCGTACCCATTCATATGTGCATGTATACACACATGTGCGTGAATGTGACGAGACAAGCACGTGAAGTGAAGAAATGGCGTTTTTAAAAAGCCCCGTTCTTGTGTTACTCCTGCTGATTTTTCTATCGCACGTAGCGCGTTGCACCCACTTAATCATAGGTCCTCTGGAGAATGATTGCCTTCACCTTCGAGTTGACAAAAATAACATCATTGTTGGGTAGGTGCCAGGGCTGAATTTTTTTTCTTGCCTGTCCAATCGAGGCGTGGCGTACGCATATAATATGTGCCATGAAATACACGTAATCACACATGTATACAGTAGTAAGCATGTGCAAGTGTAATCCCACGTAAGATATCACCAACGATGGTACAAACGTTAGCGCACCCATCGTTAGCCCCTCCCCCCTATCAGCTCGTATGAAATAATCGACAAGAACGCATTGTGTTTAATGTACATAATCAACAGAAATGACAAAAAAAGGGAGAAAATTTTCAAATCGGAAAATGTACAGGACAAGTTCGAGATTAAGGTGAGCAAAACGCAAGCACGACAAGTTTTAAATGATTATTCATTTTGAAAACATTTTACCGTGCCGTTGGCATCCGTTTGGAAGGCGGAGCAGAGTGAAAAAGTTGTGTCCATGAGGGAGGAGAGATATTCATATACATGCCCCATTATATGTGTATGGATGTACCTATACACATTTCATATACAAGAACAACTTTCGTGTTAATTTATTTTTCCCTTTTCCCTGGCCAAATCACAAAATGAAGGTTACAAACCCTGGCGCCTATTCCTTCTGCTATGCCAACCAGAAAAAAGAAGAAATAACATTAATGTTTACTTTGAGGGTGAAAGAAAGCCACGACGCTGCCGATGCGGAGTTGGGTACAGCAGATGATGTACAAAAAATAAGTAATGAAGCATCCAAGTTGTATGAACAAGTAAGGCAAATTTGAAATTACTTAAGCATTTTTTTTACCTGACCTGTTCATATATTTTTTTTTTCTTCCTTTTTTGTAGATCCCTGTGTGTACATGTTTATTTTTTGCTTTATTTTCATGTGTGCGTCTACATAAATATGTAACATTTGTTTTTCCCCCTTTTTGTGGCGATCACGTTATTAGCACTTCTCATTCCCCCTTCCCTGTTGTTAGTTTTTTGAAGTCTTTGAAGAGCAAGAAAAGATGATGGAGAAAGCAGACTTGTACAAGCAATTTAACGAAAAAATGAATTCCAAATTAATTCTGTGGTCAGAAGTACAAATAATACTACTAATTATCTTAACCATAATTCATATATTCTACATAAAGTCCTTTTTCGAAATAAAAACCATCGTCTAGTGTGTTTTTTCTCCGCGCGACGGCATGTAGAGTGTTTCACCCAATTTTTGTTCTCGCGTATGATTATATACACTCATAGCAGGTACGTAAGTACACACACAACATACCTACGTGAATGCATGCACAGGTATGTTTGGCATAAGCACATCCCCGTGAATATATACGTACACATATGCGCATATTCGTGTAATGTTTCAAACGCGTCTCCCCCGAATTTTGCCTTGAACGGTACCCCATATAAAAACATGTTTTTGTGTTATAGCTTTTGAAAAACTTTAATTTTTTCCTGTGATTTTTAAAAACATTTTTCCGAAGTGTTGAAATGGCGCCATAGAATAGCGGCGTCGTATGGCGACAAAAGATGGACCTGTTTTGTGCAAACAATGCGAACAGAAAGAAAAAAATAATAATAAAAGAGGAGGACATGATACAAATTTTGTTAAGCTCCTCCGTGTCAAGCGATTAAAAGTCAATTGCTACCCATGCATGGGAAAAGAACCGCCTTACAATTCCTGTGATGGATTCTCCCATAAAAGGCGTACACCCACGTAGGCAATTTTTTCCTGGGCAGATAGGAAGATATGCTTTATCTGTGCATCTCCCAATTTTTTTTCATCGTTTTTAAGTTTAATAAAAAAAAAAAAAAAAATTTCCCCAAAATTTAGGCTTCCTATTTTTGTAACGAAATCTGCGTTTAAATTTTTCTTTTCTTTCGTAAATTTGGAACTAGTTAAAAACTTCCTTTTGAAAACAATTCCATATTTGCCTCGTCTAATATTTTTAAGCTGAGAGGCGGAAAAATAGAATTCGCTATTTTCTTCGCGCTCTGGTGCTTGGCGTTTCGCCTTCAACACATCGCTTATGTCATTTTTGGTGATCATTTCGTGTTTGTAGCCAGTGTTCCTCATTTGTGGCGAGCGTCTCTCATTTGTCATCAGCCTCACCCATTCTGGGAAACCCTTTCTCATTTCCCATTTTTGGCCACCAGTCCGCATTTATCGCACCCCACCAATCCGCCAAACATTCGAGAAGCACACGAGGTTATAATGGTACCTGCACTCGCCAGAAAAGTTTTTGTCAAAAATAAACTAAATGACAATGTTACCATTAAAATAAAGTACATGTGTAGGAAGAAATTTGCCGGCGTGAAATTCTTAGATGGAAATAGAACGGCCGATGAGTCGATATACTTTAAGAAGGAAGGTACAAACTCGCCCCATCTGCACCTGAACAGACGTGACGCTGTGGAGACTCTTCATTAGGTGGATATGCTCTCAGAGGTGTTCCTCCTTATATGGCAAAGTTCCCCTAGTATGGAGAATCCATATGTGTGTCCCCCTTTAGGGGAATTCTTTTTTTTCCCCCCCTTACTCGCATTTCATTTGTGCTTCCCCGCTGGACCCTTTTTCCTTAGATGAAGCCTTATTAAAAAACTTACTCAAGAATAACCCTGACCTGAACCCAGACTTCAATTACACCGATGCTGAGGGTGGGATTAACAATTTGTCCAACGATCTCTGTATGGTCTTTTCAAAGCATGGCATAAAAGGGTTAAATAACAGTGACGCAATTAGAGACATCATTAAAGTGTTCGAGCTGAATGGCTATAGGAAGGTGCTCGACAACTGATGCGTGTCTCTTAAGAGGGAGATGCGTGGGGTTAGCGTAGCTTCACAAAATTTGGGGGTACCCCAGTGGAGGATGCGGTCGCTGTTGTGTAAATTTCACACCCGTTCAGCTGGAATGGGGGCTACACTGCAGCGCAATTGGGGAACATTTTTCCCTACGCAGAAACATACGCACACACTGCCGCGGTGGAAGAAGCTCTTCGAACAAATTCTACATAGACACTCGCTCCTGATCGACACACATGGTGAGAAAAGTCTCTCATTTGAAAAGTCCTATCTCCCGAATAAACCGTTGAACGTCAGAACAGCGGAGCAACATGTTCGCCCGATCGTTTGATAACTTTTCATGTCCATTTTCGCCTCTTTTTTTCTCTACATTTATAATTCTACACTGTTGGGATGTGTTCCTCCCGCTTCTTTTTTTTTTTTTTTTTTTTAACCTTCGGTGTGACGCATTTATAACGCATAATTAATTTTCACTCATCACATTTTAAGTTGCAAATTTGGGGTACTCCCTAGATCAGTAAAATCGTAAGGGAGTTAATCCTGCTTAGCTTCCATTTCGAAGCGTTTGCCAAAAAAAAAAAAAAAAAAAAAAACACAGGAGGGGGGTAACTTCCCATAGGAGAAGTAGCGTACAAAATAACCACCATGTGTGGCCCTCTTTTAACCGCGCTTCAATGTGTCAGAAGATTTCTCCTTTCTGTGTGATTCAAGGAGTTCCAAAGGGGTATTAAAATGAGCACAAATTAATTTTATAAAAGAGCACATTTTTGTAACGTTTTTCACGTGGCTCGTTCCTTTCAACTGTCGCGTTCCTCGTAAAGTGTTGAGCAGAAGAAGGAGCTTTCTAGCCACACATTGGGTCAGAGGTGATCCAGGATTTCTCACCAAAAAGTCGAAACAGGATTTCTTACCGAAGCGGTTCCCCTTTGAGAGGGCCTAAATGGCAACAGCACCAGCAGACCAACCGTGACGGGAGTGAAGCAAATTGCCACAACGATGTAGAGAAAAAGGATGAAGGCGCCATCGTGGCTAAGCTTTGCACATGCAGGGAAGAGAAACTTTGGGAGTTCCTATTTGACGAAGAAGTTGAAGACGATAAATGACAGGGCTCTCAAGTACCATGAAGATTATATCAAATCGTTAGATATACTGGAGGGGAAGAATAGAAGCGTAATGAAGGAAATTTTCCCCAACAAGAAAAGCGAAATAAATGATTTGTTTTTTCAAAGAGGTGGAAACTTGAATGGAATGGATGCATCAAAGGTGGAAGAAAACTCCGACGATGACGTAGATCTGTTGGATCTCCATACATCAGAAAGGGTTAACTACCAACACGAAATGAAAAGCATGACATTAGACGAATTCGGAACTGTAAGAGTAGTACATAACGACATCCTGGAGGAGGAGGCAGACTGTATGCTGATCCCGATGGTCTCAAACTTTGTGCCTCTAAGCGGATTTGGCGCATATATACTACACAGAGGAGGGCGAGAATTAGTGAAGGAAATCTTTATCAGCATAAAGACACTAATTAAGAAACGCATAGATGTATTAAATGAACACAAAGAGGAATATATATCGGGAGGAAAAGACAAAGTTAGCAGCGAAAAGGAATTTAAGAAGCTGCTTGACAATGCCAAGGCGTTACAAGTAGGAGACGTTATTTTAGCTAAGCCTCATAACGTTAGCGATAAAGTACAGTTATTGGCCTTTTTAATAATGCCATATTTCTGGCAGGGAAATAATTATGTGTCTTCAAACAAGTTAAGATACTCTTTCGCTAGTGCGTTAAAACAACTAAATGAGTTATGCATTTCGTCTGTAATCCTACCCGACATCGCATCCGGTATTTATGGCTACGCACCAAGCAGCTCTAGTCACATCCTTCTCGATGAAGCAGTCGAATCGATTCTACAGATTAGTGCCACAGTGCCTCTCTACAATTTGAACTCCATCTCTGTTGTTGATAAGGATATAAATACATGCAGAACTTTTAGTGAAGCACTTGAAGACGTGTCCAGAAGTTATCTTCCTCAGAAAAAAGTTCTGCCTGCTCCGAAATACTGGAATGTGGTAAATAGGAGACTGTTAGAGATTCCATCCAATGTAATTCACTTTTGTAGAAAGCATAACAAAATTTCTTTTAGAAAATATCATGGCATTATCAGGCGTAAGTTTCAACATTATTATAGCAATATTAGACCGTTTAAATGGAGAGCCTCTAGGGTTATCGAACCGAACCCTTTTCTTGTCTATCAGAATTCCGGCGAGCCTAGCTCCTATCAGTATGGTCCCAAGCCTTACTACTACAAGGGCGTGTCACACACTCTTTACAATATTGGGAAGAAAGGCTTGGTTAACATCCGTGTGGGGCGCCATGGCAAGCTACAAGCGCTGAAGACTGTGTCTAGCATTTCGCTCGAGACGAAGCCACGCCTTTAAACTTGGCGGTGGAGGAAGGGAAGTAGAGAGAATCCCTTTCAAACTGGATCGATCAATTTGCTTTTCCCTCCCCCCTCTGCGTCACCGCGGTGGGCGTAGCGTCATCCGGAATTTTAAACATGTAAGGCCACGTGCTGCGCACTTCCTTCCGGAGGAGGCAAAACAGGTCATAGTATTGAACCAAATGGTCCCATCTGTTACACCGCCTCTTCCCCCGTTTGTACCGATTAAGGAGCCTCCTCCTGACGGTTCTCAGACGCCTAAGGCATGGGAAAAGCGGGCTGCTCGCATTGAACACCCGAGCGTACCGCAACGCCTCCAACGCAGTGTCGACCAAAAAAAGCTTCACAAATTTAATCTTCCTATTTTTGATAAGTGACTTCCTCAAATAGGAAATTAAATGAAAAACAAATCTCGTGTTGTAGCAATTGTTGTAAAAGGCATTAAACATTCTCTTCAACGTTTTAATCGAACAGACGAATTTTAAGATGGCGCTTTTTAGGAGAATGAAATTATTTTTGTAAGCAAAGTAGGTATTTTGCTTGTTTCTATAAATCATGTGATTTTTCTTCATCTTAGATATCACATTTCTCATGATTCTATTTTCCACCAAGAATTTCATATAGCTTATTGAGGAGTTTTTTTCTACGATCACATTGTTTAGGTGCAGGTGGTTCCTAATGGTTGCGTCTTGTTTGTTTTTCCACTGGCACGATGTGCTGTGCACGCAGTTGCTTGCGAAGTCAAATGTGTACGAATTGTTTAGCCACTCGATCGGCATCACGCTTCGGGCGTGCCCAGCAGTACAGCGGTTTACACGCGCAAATTTTTCGCTTCTCCTCGATAACCGCATCAACCGCTTCAGGGACTTGTTAATTTTTTGCCTCCCTCTAAAGGATAATCTTCCTGTTAACCTTCTCCTCTTTTCGAGCAGCTCTTTTATTAGTTTGCTTCTTTTCGCTTTGGATAGCTTTCCTCCCCCTTTTTTCTTCGCCATTTTGACGGTCCCCTTTCGTGCGGTAACCCCCATTTGGAGTTCGCCACTGGAGATGCTACATTTTGCGGCACTTGCCAAGTCATCACTCAGGGGGGTAGTTGCAACTGTCTCTCTGCTCTCAACGATTGGCTTCCTCTTCCGTTTCGCGTCGCTGATCGGGCTGGCGATCTTACCGCTGATCTCGGCGCTGATCTCGGCGCTGATCGGGATGCTTGAAGGGGTCCCGCTTTGCCCCTGTGGGGTCATCATGTACGAGTCCGGAGAGGCGCATTCAGTGCTCAGCGGAGGTGGATGTTCCGATGCGGACAGTTGCTTCGGCAGAGTTTGGCGCGTCTTCCCCTTTCCATAACACCTCTTCCCTCCGGAGACTTCTCCCCCTGTCCAGACATTCTCCAGAAATAAGTTATTCTTATAAATAAGGGGAAGCTTGAAAATCTTTGTCTTAGACGAATTTATATTCCCCCCCCAGATTTTCCTTGTGAGCAGCAGCTTCTTAAATCGCTTCATATTCCTCTTGTTAACCGTTATAAAGAGAAAGTCATCGATAAATCTTATTAGCAGAGAATTCAAGTTTTGGTAATTCACCGCGTTTACATTTTTTCTCTGGAGATGAGGGGGAGTGGTCGTTCTTCCCCTGTCCTGATCTGAATAGAGAATATTTTGAAATTCTTCATTTCGGTCCAGATAGGCATAGTAGAGGGAACAGAGGATGTTGGACAAAGTGAATCCCTGCGGCAGTCCGCAAATGTCGCTGATGATTTTTTTGTCTTGAAATGTGAGGAAGTTTTTTTCTGCGGATGTTCGGACGTTTTTTTCTGCCTCTGCTCGGGGGTTCCTTTCAGCGAAATTGGCGGCGCTCCTATCGGCGCAATTTGGGGAAATTCTTTCTGAAGAACTTATTCTCGCCCCTTCCCCTTTTGTCAAGGCCGCCATTTCGCTGCAATTCTCCCCGGGCCTGCGACCCACAAGTTGGTCTCCGTTCCGCCTCGATAACTTAGTAGGTCTTCCCCTCCCATCTTCTCCAATTTCATCCGCATCACCATGTTCGCAACCTTTACCATCGTCACGTTCCGCAGCGCTAGTGGTGATGGCAGTGCTTAGCGCAAGACGCCTCAATCCGAGCGAGTTCGCCTTATTTGCGGCCCGGCCGTCGGGGAGGCAAGGCCCCCTTTGCGGTGTGCTGACCACTTGTTCTGTTGCGCCCGAAGGGGGGTTCTCCATAACACCCCTCTGCTGCATCGCTTTCTCATTCACCGCTTCCCCCTCCATGGCTTCCTCTCCCCCCTGTAAGCAGCGCAACTGATCCAACGTTCTCCTGCTGCGCAAGCTGCGATAAATTTCTTCCCTTTTCTCCTTCTGAAAAAGCTGAAAGTAGAAAATATTTCTCCACTGCATTTTTATCTCCTTGATGCTGAAGTAGATGTTTAAGTAATAGTACCGAACGATGGTGATGATGGTCATGAGGATGTCTCTCATTTCGACCTGCACACTTTTGTAAGAGTCGGAGAAAATATACAAATCGGAGCAGGAGCTATTTTTAAAAAACTGTCTGAGGAGGAAGCTGTGCGATTTGTTCGAATTTGATTTTACAATAAGCTCTCTCAAATTTTTAATGCAATGTTTGCCGAATTCTTGGACGTTAACAGGGTAATAGGTTAGGAGGGAATTGTTCATATAATGATTATAGAGACGGAAGGATCTTTTAAAGACATATATAAATTCAAAATTTGAAATGCCATGAAGAAAATCCTTCAATATTTTGAAGAGATAATTATGATTTATATGTTCGTAACAATTGGAGAAGTCTCCGATACAGATGTATGCATAGATGACTTTTCCTTTTTTTAATTTATTTTTTATATATTTTTTATTTTTCTTTTTCCGATAAAACCAGTTCTTCAAATAATCCAGCCACTTCTTAAGCTTTAACTCTGTTTCGTTTGTCTTGGTTAGCGTGTTTTGAAATAAAACGCTGTTATTACTTCTCACATTTCCCAGACATTTTAAAGAGAAGTTACATAACTGATTTAACGACACTGGGTTGAAGTTCTTTCTGTTGTATTTTTTTTTCCTGGATTTTTTTTTTTCTTTGCTATCTTTTCCCATGTTATTCAATATGTTGTGGAAATAAAACTCGCTGCTTTTTTTATTTTTTAAAATTTCCCTGATTCGATTCTTTACACTTTCTGGAACGTTCAACGTAGACAGATTTATTAGAGGTCTTAGCCCTTTTTTCTTCGGCACCCAATTTATTCTTAACTTTTTCGAAAAAAACCGATTTATTGAATTCAGCTTGAGAAGAAAATTGCGCTTCTCTATCATGCTTTTTATTCTGTGTATGTGAATTTTCTTCTTTTTCGCGCTGTTCGCGCGGTCTGCGTTGTTTGTGTTTCTCGTGTTTTTCGTGTTTTTCGTGTTTTTCGTGTTCTTCGCGTTCTTCGCCTTCTCCATCCTGGCCGTCTTCTCCTTCTCGGGTTTTTTTTTCCGCGGGGTCCTTCCCCTGCATATCGATGCACTTGTGGGCGTCCTCGCTTCGGCGCGTCTGATCGGATCATTCTTTGCAGAAGGCCCGGCTATTTTGTCGTCTTTCCTTTGTTTTGTCTCCCCATCTCGGACGCGCTTTATGCTCATCATCCTTCTCCTAACCCGCTTGACCAATCGGTAAAATCGCTTAACGTAATTCCTTTTTGTTTTTTTAAAAAATCGCTTCGAAATAAACCTGAAGAGGTGTCCCTTCTGGTCAGCAAAGTGTACATAGGGTGCAAATTGTTTGTCCACCTGAGGGATCATCTTCGTTCGATAGAGGAGGTACTTTTTCCTGAGGGAGAAATACTTCTTCTTCACTTTGTAATAGAACTTGGTTAAGTACGGTCTAACCGTTTTTTTACTCAGAATGGTCATTTGGTATAGATCTTCGATGCGTTTGTTTGGTTCGGTTGAGGTGGACCTGCCTCTTTGTTTCTTCTTTCCACATTGGAAACGTTCATTTTTTCTGCTGCTTCGTATTATGCCACTTTGATGTTTTTGTCTTTTTTTTTCCTCCCCCCGGTTTCGCAGTGCGGGTGGGCGCTCCCTCCCGTTTTCGATTTGTCTCCCCTTGGAAATCCTATGACCCTTCTGGAGTTTCATCCTCTTGAGCTTCCCACCGCTTGTCCGCCCTTTCTTTCCTGATTCCACCCTCCGCTCTAGCTTCTTACCGCGGAAGTTCTGGTGGTAGAGACAAAAGTTAGAAACCTTGGTGAAGTAGTTCCACGATTTCTTGTCAAAAAAAATCGTTTTGTGAATAGTGTGCTCCGATTTGGTGAGGAAAAAGTACTTCCTAATTACAGGCATGATGAAATAATTGAAGAGGAAATAAATGAGTCTGTTTAGGAGATGCCTCTTCAGAAGTGCTATGTGAATTTTTTTTTTTTTCATCAAATATTTCCTCCTAAGGGTCTCAAATATGGATGTGTCTTTCTCCGGGTCGAAGAACCGCATTTGTTTGCTCCTCCTCTTTGACTTCCACGTTTTGGGTTCTTTATAAAGGTTGTCGGTACAATGAGTGGGAAGTGCCTGGGTCACCACTTGGGTTGCACTCCCTTCCAGTGCACCCACTTGGACGTTCTCCACGTGCCTGTGTGATACCCTGTTGGCGTGTCTGCTGGCGCACCTGTTGCCGCACCTGTGGGAGACCGCCTTCTGGAAGACATTTCTAACCCTAACGTGCTTCATCATTTGGTCCATGGTAAAATTTTCCTTATAATTCAGTAGGACAAAATTTTTCACATTTTTTATGAAGACCTTAAAATTGTGACGACTGCCCAGAAGTTTCACAGGCACACATTTCTTCGTAATATGTACAAGGAAATTTATAACGTTATAAGTCTTAAGAGAAAATGAAAGGAAGTCAGATTTTTTAAAAAAAACATCATACATTTTCTGTTTGATGAATTTCCTGTTTCTCCGGATATTTACAATTTTATATTTGTCAATAATGCGTGATTTAATTGTTTTAAAAATTTTTCTAATTTTATTTTTCATTTTATTTTTTGGAAAATATTGGCTATATATTTTATCAAAATTTGCCTTCCTCGTATTTGTTATGAATTGTTCAAAATGGCAGTAAACATATTTCAGTATGTTCGTTTTTTTCAAGCGGGCAGACACGTTGTTTCGTTTGTCTCTACTCCTACTACAGAGTGACACATTTGATGGTGTTCTGTTTTCCTTTCTTAACAGAAGGAAAGATATATCATTCTTTTTCGTGTTGCATTTTATCTGCTTCGAAATTTTATGTTTATATTCATCTATGAAATTGTTGTGGAAAAAGTATTTCTGATCTGACTTGAAAATATAATTCAGCAAATGGTATGTGAACAAGGGGACATTTTCAATTTTGTCGAAAAGGATCCTCTTATTTAGGAGGAACTTTTTGTACTTGTTTGTTGTGTTATGTTGAAGGATGTTATTTCGATTGATGATTATTTTGCTCCACTTTTTCTTCTCCTCCTGTCCAGGTTTGGACTTCGGGCAACTGAGAGGTTCCTTTTCCGCTTTTCCATCAGAAAAGAAGCTTATCTTCGGAAGCACCTTTCTCGGAGATTCTCGCTCCTCTCCATCTGCTGCTTCTATCCCGTTTTCCAAAACTTCGACGTGACCCTCCTGGGCCTTCTCTGCCTCCTTATTTTCCTTCTGTATCTGCTTCATCTCCTTGAGGAACTCATTTTTGAGAATTCTCCCACTGCACTGGACTAGGTAAAGGTGATTAACGTATGAGCTAACCTCGTTCCGCCGAATCGTTTGTCTCTTCTTTTTGAATAAGTATTTATATTGTTGTCCATCTGTTTGTGTGTCGTCTGCAGGGGTGGCTTCCTCTCTTTGTGCCTCGTTATTTTTCATTGCATATTTTAAGGGGTCTATTTGTCTTCCCTCCGTTGAATCATCGCTTGGATTCATTTTCTTCCTTTTGCACTTCTTACCTGCAATAACTTCTTCTTCGCTACCCCACTGGTCGATCTTCCTTTTGTTTGCCCCTTTTGCACAATCCGGTTTAGTAACAGATTGGAATTCCTCTTTGGGGTGTTCCTCCACTGGGTCATCTTCTCTGTATAGGTCCCTTTCCTCTGGAGTGCCATTTATATCCAATGGGGAAGGCGCCCCTTGGGGGGGGGTGCCATCAGGGTGGGAAGACACCACTTTGTGGGGCAACAAGCTGAGAAGCTCTTTTTCGGGGAGGCGTCTACTGTGGTCCCTCTGGTAAATGATCTTCACCTGCTTCGTGTTATATGCGAGTTTCTTCTTCTTGGAAAATATCCTGTCTTGCACCTCATTCATGTCATCATACTTGAGATCGACGTGGCTGACTAAGACAAGGAAGGAATTCTGCACAGGCAGCTTCTCACTCAGGTTAAGAAAAAAAAAGTCCGATATGAAGATAAGTGTATTCGACAGGAGATAATTTAAAAAATCGAAAGAAACATAATTAAAGAAAATGTCCCAAACTTTTAAGCTGTAAAAGTAATCACAACAGTTTTTATCTTCGTAGGAAAACTTTGTCGAGTTAAACAGAAGTACAGAATTTTTGTAGATTTTACTTTTCTGGTCAATTCCCTTTTCATTCAATTTTTTCTTCACATGACTATAACCCTGTTTCCAATTCAGTATGTCATTTTTTTTCTCTTTGAAGACGAAATCTCCATGGTGATTCCCCTCCAGCCTTTTTAAAGTAAAATCTTCTAGCAACAGAACATTTTGTAAAAAATATTGATAGTAGAAATCATCTTGGAAAAATCCTTTGTCCATGAGTAGTTCGTTTAGGATGAACAATTTGTCCTTCTTCCTCTTCCCAATGATATGTTCTTTTAAAATGTTCTCGAAGAATATCCTCCGGAATTTTTCATCATGCTTGAGTGAGTATTCTCCCAGGGTATACGATTCCACGTTCAGCTTTTTCTTCAGGTACGCTTTGAAGATTTTTATTTTCTTGTCTCTGCACTGGAAGATGTCTCTCAAGTAGTCGCTTCCCATGAAGTTGGCGCTTCGTACACAGTTACCGCTTCCTACACAGTTTCCGCTTGTTACGAACTTTACGCTTCCCACGCTGGCTCCCCCCTCCTCACAAGTGCCGCCCTGCATCATGGGGATCGCCCAATGAACACACAAAAAGAGGCGCCTCCCTGTATCACTCCTGCTCGCAAAATGTTCTCTTCGTGTGGAGTATATATAGGCACTTCGAGTGACACATCGATTGGCACTTCAACTGGCACATCAACTGGCACATGGGTTGCCACATCGAGTGTGACAAGGATTGCCACATCGACTGCCATCCGGACTGCCACATTATGAAGGGGGAAATGTGCGCGAGAGGGAACTTGTTCTTATTTTCTTTCCCTTCAAAGTTTGTGCAGGTGCGTCCTTTTTTTTATGGATGACCCGTTTGAAAAAACGCCAGCCGACGTGATGAAAACGGATCATGCACATGTCGGGAGGGGGGGAAGGAAGAAACAACTGCTTTTTGCTTAAATCGGATTACTCAGCGTATGCAAGTTTGTCACCGTGACTACGAACGCATAGTGAGGGGGGGAAATTGAAAAGGGTGCGTAAAATATATCGAAATCCCTAATGTGAAGGCAAAGAGGAAAACTGCCCCTTTTTAAAAATGTTGGAGGATTCACTCTCGCGAGGGGTATCCATTTTTATTTCACTTCAAATGTAAGATACGAATTTTTTTTACCACTTGTCTTTGCATCGAAGGCCTCCTGCCTCTTGGGCGTTATGACGTATTTGCCATAGGGGGAAATGCAAAGCGAAACGGTGGGAAGTGTGTAGGCCTGCTAAGCAAACAGGCCTTTGTTTATTTGCCAAATGCGGTGGGCGGCTATTCCCCCCTTTCTGCACAACATACGGGATGAAAATTTCCCCATATCCCATGCTTCCTTCCCAACCAAAAAAAAAAAAAAAAAAATTATCCTCCTAATTAACGCTTCTCTTTTTTGCGAAAATTTTGATTCTTTTTAAAACTAACGTCACTCAAAATGGTTTCATGTTTTTGAAATGAGAAAAAAATAAAGTAGCAATCGCAGTAGCAGTCGCAGCAGCAGTACAATAATAGTGATGCAATAAGGCTACAGTATGGCACATCAATCAACGTGTGCAACGAAAATTGACTCTTGTGATACTCGCTATGAGAGTACCCCTCGGGTGGGGTTCCTTGGTCAAATGATATATACCCAAGTGTGGCAACGCAAAAATAGAGGGAAAAAGAAAAACATCGACAACTAGGAAAAGTTTCTCTTTTTCGCTTGCACAAGACGCTCATATTATTGGCATGCCATGGTCAGCGGTTAACCGTACATATACAAATATAAAAATATACAAATTGCACACGAGTGGGGGAAGAGGGGACAAACGAGGGAAATGGTATCATTTAAAAAAAAAAACACAAAGGTGCGACAAAAAAGGGGGATTGTCTCGAAGGGGAGCCATGCGCATGTATATGTACATGCATATGGGCAGATACATGTAACATCCTAGCAGGTTTAACAATACAATATTTTACAAGCCAAGGGGTGGAGATGTCCCCTCGGCGAATGGATTTAATAGGGGGGAGTGGCAGCGGGGGATAGCGGCAACGGTGGGGCAACCACTGATTGGGACAACAGATCCGTAAGAGCTGCTTGGGGACAACTGCTTTAGAGCAACTCCTTCGGAACAACTACTTCGGGGTAACTGCTTCCGGGTAACTGCTTGGCACGGGGTGGCGCCGCCGCCTCATCTCTGCGACACCTTCACGCTCTCGACGCTGGCCTCAACGTCTCCTAAAAGCATAAGGACGATCTCCAGCTCATTCATGCTAACATCCGTGGCCTGGTAAGTCACTTCTTCCCGGCCAGGCCGGCGACCACGTGAGTCTCCATTCATGTTGGTGTAAAAGATGGAATTGGCATCCTCCTTCTTTTCCCTCTCTAGGATGGCCTTCTCCAACTTAACCTGGTCATAAAAATGTTTAATTTTTCTTTGCAGGAAGCAAGCAGAGGGTTGCTCCACATTTAAAATGAAAGTGTAAAAGGGTTTTAAATTTTTATTCAGCAAAATCATTTTGATCATGTTGAGCACAACGGTGATGGCATCCACGTTGAGGAGTACAGACTCTTCACTCATGAGGATGTAGATAATATTTTTGACTTGTATCCCCAATTTATTTATTTCTTCAGCGATTTGTTTTATTTTGGCTAGTTCTGTATTATCTCCTGGAGGAGTAACCACTTTTGACGATTTATTTCTCTCCGCTTGGATAGCTTGATTGAGGACATTTTCAAAGTCTTCCTTTTTTTGAAATTCCTGTTTTATCGCTTCTGCCTTTTTAACGACCTGCACCATCTTTTTGTGCATTTCATCCTTTACGAACGCGGCAATTAAACTCCTGGCCTTATCTGGAAGGGGCTCATTAAGCAGCTTATAATATAGTGAGTACAGAATATCCCATTTAAAATTTCTCATGATGATGCACACAGCATTGTATACCGTCTTGGAATACGTTTTGAATGTCTTATGATCATGAATAGTGCGATGTAGAGTTAGTAAAAATTCCAGGGGTCTCCATCTGAAGTTGTATATATTAGAGAAGACTTCTCCATCTCGCCTTTGAATAATGTTGGATAAGACGGCACAAAGGCAGATGAGGTGATAAGCCTTGATTAGCAAATTGTTCTTAATGCCCTCCTCGGCCTCCGGAATGCATAGAAGTAAATTGTAACTATTTCGCATCATCAAATTGAAGAGATACAGCTCTGAGTAAATTTTCGGAAAGGACGATTCATTTATTTTTTCTACAAATATGAGGTAGCAGAGGATGGAGATTTCTAAGGTTGAATTTTCCAGAGCACAGGCTTTCGCATTAGGCATTAAAATATTCACATTTTCTAAAATGCGTGATATGTTGCAGTTAATTATGCTTAGTCTCCATAGGAGAGCTGACAGGCAATCCTTCACCATCATTTCTCTTTTATCCTCATATAAATTTAAAGATAACTCGGAGTAAATCTCAATACATTTCTGATACTCCAGATGGTCATAATGAATGTATTTTATCATCCTTTCTATGTTTTCATTTATTGGTAATTCTGCATTGTGATAACTTATTACTTTCATAATGAATGCTATGATGGAGTGTAGAGCCACGTCCTGTTTGTCGTCTTCCTGTGTCTTAATGGATTCATCACACAGGACATTAGAAAATTTACACATAGAAATTAACACGTCCATGCTCGTCACATTATCGTTACAGTATGCTTTTCCTTCTATGCTATAGAATTTTCCCAACACTAGGGGGAGCATCTGCGCGATATATTTTGCCCTTTCCAAAGCTATTTTGTTAACAACATGGGCAAAGTACTCCAGGGATAGCAATTTATAACGATAGCTGATTTCTGAATTATGCAAAATGTTGTTGAATAAGACGTATCCATTTCGTGGGGAGACGTTCCTACTGAGGACATACAATATTTCCATATAATTGACATTCTTCGTGCATGTCCTTATGAGATCTTTTCTGTAATCCTTGGTGTTAAATCGTCTTAACTTATCCTCCTGAATTGGGATTCGACACTGAGGATATACCTCATCATAATTTTCCTCACCCCATAGTTCTCTCGCTTCCTCCTTACGCGACGTGAGTCCTACATCGACACAGTCCAGCTCATATTTCTTTGGAATTTTATTTACACTTTGTATGTATACTATTACATCTGCTAAGAAGTAGCATGCGTTTTTCTGAAAATCACTCACGTGGATGTTCCTTAGAATGTGATCTACTAATATGTTCGTGTTGTTGATTCGATCCTTCTGTAGGTACTCTTTCAGCTGCGCTAAATATTGCTGGAATTTTGAGCTTCCCTCTTTTAGACACTCCAGTATATCCTTCACCTCGTCGGGCAGGGTCCCTACCTTCGATTCGCTCATCGTTAGCCGCGGTAGACAAAGGTGAAGGTGCTGAGGGGAAACGCACGTTCTTCTCTTGTGGATATGTCCCCAGTGCGACCTTACAAACGTGAAAACGTCTGCTCCGTGGGTATATGCCCTTCGCAGTAGCCTCGCTGGTGCAGCCAACGGGAGACAATATATCCTCTCAGCTTCGTTTGCTGGGCCTCACGCGGGCATTATTTCGTAACGGCGTGTGGCGGCACAAAGTTAGCAGCGGAAACGAACAGGTGCGCACCTATATAAGCTAAACTCACGCGTTGCTCCCCATGTGCGCAACTACAATCTTGTGTTGGGATCTTCACAAAACGATGGAAGGTATTGGGGCTGGGAGAGCATCTCTTCAGCGCAACGAGGGAAGAAGCACACTTTAGCTGCTTAAGCTGGGATACGATACAGTTAATGACGAATCGGTTGAATGCAAGTTTACTAAAAGGAGAGCTTCACCGCGAAGAATCCGCCTTCGGGTGAGTTACTCAGGAAGGTTGAGCAACATTACGGAGGGGGGAAAGTGGTACGTATTCCTACGGCGTACAGCTCAGGTTCAACTGCGTAGGAGTCACAAGTACAAAAGGTAAACACACAGAGGGGATTACGCGAAGAGCGGCATGCATGTACAATGATACCTTTATTCGAATTATTTTTCAGATGCGCATCTGTATACGCAAATACATGTATACTTGTATGCACTTGCGCGGGATGGCGAAATGTGGGCACGATATATATAACACGCCGTTCTGGCGGACTTGTTTAAAATTTTGCTTAAATGTACCTTTTTTCTCTCTCTCTCTCTTTTTTCGTTCTTTCCTTTTTTGTTCTCACATGTAGATCGACAAAAGCAATAGGAAGTACCTATGCGTGTGTTTGAACAATATTTTGAGGAAATAGAAAACTGCCTTTATAGCCATCCATACGATATATGTATGTGCACATGCGTATTAAGAAGCATTTGTCGAAGGTTCTGTGGTGTGAATTGTAGCAGGTTAGGAGGCGCGTTTTTTGGGGGTTGCTACCGTTGTTTCGGCTGTTACTGTACTTTTGATTATTGTGGTTGATGTGGTTTCCAATACGGTTGCCGATGTGGTTGCTTTGTTCGCCTCTTTGTTCGCGGCCTTCACGCTTTGGGCCCCGTTTTAAGTGGGAAAAGGCTGAATTTGAGTTTTACTTGGCAAAAACGTTACGCAGGGCAAAAGGTTGTTATAAAATGGGGCACACAGTTGAGTGAAGGTGTCTGTATGCTTATCGGTTTGGTAGAACACTTCACTTTGTGTGTTTATGTGAGTGGAAATGGGGAAAAAGAAAAAATATAGATATATATACTATTCAAATTGTTTAGAAGGGCTTCCCTCCAAATCGGTTTAACATTTTTTTTTTTCTTTGCTGCATTTTCCTTTTCACTGTGGTTATGTGGTGAAGAAAAAGAGAAAAAAACAGGCATAGAAACCGATGCCGGGGGGGGGCGAATGTACAAATGAATGCGCTGCGAGGGGACGAAGGTGAAGAGGCTTCGCCACCCACATATGCATGTGGTTTCGGTATGCACCTTGGTTAAGTGACTCCTTCAAGCGGCTTGGCAATGCACCATTTGGGTGTTATTTTCTCCATATGAGTGTCCGACATGATATCCCCGATTGATCTCCTACTTGTGATCCACACCATGTACCACTTCGCCAAATTGAAGAACCCCCTTGGAAAAAAAAAAACGAAATACCATCAAGCCCCTTTCCTTACCATTTTTGTTTTAATTTTTAAGTATTTATTGTGGTCTTGATTGGAGGTCATACTGTTGGGCTTGTGTGTTAAGTACCGATTTCTCTGCTCTTGTGGAGAGTCCTTCTTCGTGTACTTGAGATAATTAACGCCTGGTGGGGGTCCCCTGCCTCTGGCTTTGCTGTCAAGCGCAAAGGGGGTAATGGCTCCGCCACTTGGGTGGTTGCCGGATATGGCACTCGTTCCACCCCTGTGCAGAGCGAGACCGGCGCGAACTGTGGCAGCCTTGTTAATTCTAATTTTGAGGTGTGACTCGGTGTGTGTTCTGAAGTGCTCGGCTAGAGCTTTGATATCATAAGCGAGCTCTCCGCCCCCATGGGGAGCCTTTAAAAATTCATCCCACATGCCATCATAAAAAGACAAAACCACGTAGTTATCGCACTGAAACACTTTGTGCTTTAGTTGTATTTCTCCCATGATGTATCCACTGCATCTGTGAATAGGAGTAGTCGGCAGCGGGTCAATGATGACATTATAGTCCGTGAGCAAATAGGGCATTATATACAGCTGTTTAAATTCCACATTTTTCTCATATTTTAATTTTAAGTAATTAAAAACCTCTTCGTAAGGAACTTTGGAAGTGTACTGATTATTTATCAACTTCATTTTGTAGTGAAAATAGGAAGCGTTTAGAAGGTACTGAAATGTTTTAAGAAATTGGCTAGCTGGGGTAGTATTCTTATTGGTGTAACTGCGGAAGGAAGTGTCTTCCGGTGACTGACTCCTTCTCCACCGATTTACATAACCGAATGAATTTTCACTAGAAAAATTATTCAAATCTATGTAGTTAAACATTATGGCACACTTCAATATTTCGTACAATAGCTCATACTGTTTTTTGTTGAAGGCCGTCACATCATCCACAATCCTTTTTATGAGGAAAAACCACGACACTGGGCAGACATAATTGGTGAGCAGAAAACTGTATGAAAGGTATAGGAGTAGCTTCTTGTTACACGTGAGGACTATTTTGCGAACGTCTATAAATTTCCACAGGTTCAGGTTCTTCCTCCCGGCGATTCCGAAGGCGAGTGATATGTCAATTAGGTAGTTCGCGTCCACATGCATGGAGTGGTTCGCATAGTTTGCATCACTTTGCAGCGTTGTGGCCTCTTCCGTTGCGCCTTCTCCGGTTGTGCTCAGTCCTGTTGTACTCTCTCCTGTTGCGCCCTCTTCCGATCGCATCACTCCCCCTTCGTCAGCGCCCCCCCCCGAGCGGCCCCTCGCGCTGATTAACTTTTCGCCGATTACATTTTCCAAATAGGTGAACATCTGCGTCGTATGGTACGGGTAAATACTCAGCGACAGAATTATATTCGAAATGTTCTCCTGCGTCAATTTGTGTTTATTCATTTTTATTTTTTTTTCAAATGCCTGTAATGTCTTATGCTTTATCGCGTCGTTTTTTATGTACAAAAGGTACAGGCTCAGGACGGATGGGAAGTGCGAAATGCTGTTCACGTAGTTATCACAGAATTTTATCACTTCTTGCGTAAGAGCGTTTTTCTCTGACACATTTCCTGTCATTATGACCGATCCTTTTTTGTTATCTCCAATGGGGATGTCACCCATTGTGGTAAAATTTTTCCTCTCCGCGAGCGTCTCTGGAGTAACTTCCTCACTGGTGTCTTCATGACCCCCCTTCTTTTTCGCCTGCTTCACTGGAGGGTCATCTTTCCCGTAGGTAATGTTAACTGAGGACAGCAACAGTTTGCTGACAATTTCATGCATGTCTAAATACACCGCTGCGATATTATTCGGAGTGATCAATTCGCTATCCTTTTTCATTTTGTGGAGAATTTTGCTCACCAATGGGATTCCCTGGTTGCCGTCCTTTTTATCCCCCACGATGAGGCCTTCCATGGTGCTGCCTTCCATGATGATGCTCTCCACATTTTTTGCCCTCTTCAAATAGTCAGCTAGCCGCACTAACTGCTCCTCATTCATATGGTCCACTCGGTGGTGTAAGGCTTGGGTCAAACTTCTGCTCATGATCTCGTCAGCACCGTTTAGATAAATGTTCGCTACGCATAGGAGAGTATCCGTGGAGAGTTCATTTCGATTTTTTTTCAAAAAGGTCACCACTTTATCTGTGTAGTAAAAATTCATTTTGTGGTGAAAATTTTCAATGTACTTAAAAATTGTCAAAATTTCATCACCTTGTATTTTTGTTCTCCTCTCTGTAATAGGATCATAGGTATCCTTTGAGGATTCTCCAAATTCTTGCCTCCGTATCGACGCGGCTACTTCCATGGGGTTACCCCTTCCAGGTGATTTGAAAAAGGCGGATTCTCCGATCCTCCTTCGATTTGTAGCTTCCTCATTCGAGGGTACATAATTGCCTGCTTCCCCATCGTTGTAGTCCCCGTTTAGGTGTCCACTCCACAGGGGTGCCTCTCCCCCTAGGAAGTTGTCCTTCCCCTTTTCGGAACCACTTTGAAAAGGCAACCCATTGGTGTTACTACCTAGGGCCCATTTCGAGGAATTCACATCAAAGAGGTGTCCAAAGGTGTATTTGTTATCCTGAGAGGGGTGACTCCAATAATTTGTTTTCCTCCTAACCAGGTCATCGTTGTAGGTCGCACTGATCTTATCATCCACAGTTAAGGTGAGGTAACTGTCTACTTCCTTCGAATAGAAGTGCTTGTAAAAGGACTGGATGATGTAAAATATCTGCACTGTTTTCAAATTATCCAGTTTGTCCATGTGGAGGTAGAATTTCTCCAGCAGAAGTTCAGTAACCTCCAAATGTAGAGCATAATTCAGATAATACATATATTTGAAGAGGTCAAAAATGTCCCGTTCGTTAATGAGGCAGATGTAGTTCTGTATGTACCTCTCGACATGGGTAAAGTACTCCTCAAAATAGCTATTGTACTTTTTGACTGCATTTTTTGTATTCAAGTAATCCAGTGGTATTAAATTATCCAAATGATGAGGAGTCCTCTTTAACAAAATGGTACAGAGACTTTTTAGCACCTCTAGGATAGCATGTATCGTTAAGTTTTCGTTTCTCAATCTGTTTAGTATTTTATTTATTTTTATTTTTTCATTTTCTGATTTTTGCGCTATGTCTAGGTAATCGTGCAATTTGTTTATGTACAAATTGGGGGTTCCATTTCCGTGTGGGGGGGCACTTCCCGACTGGTTGCTGCGGGGGTTGGGCCACCGGCTCCTGCTGCCACTTGGGGGACTACTATCGGTGACATGTTGCAATCGGCTGGGTAAAATTTTGCTATTGTAATGCTGTCCTTCGTAGTGACTGGTGAGGTTCCTCCCGTCGTTCTTTGCGCGAATGTGTGTGTAGTTAGCCGTGTTATCTTCCCATGAGCTATCCCTCTTCCCCTTCGCGTTAGAACCGCTAACACGTGGGCTGTCTTTCCTTATTTTACTACTTGTGAGATACACCTTGCTATCCTTGTGCCTGTTGTGCGCGCTACTCCCTTCCAGTGTCCCCTCGCCATTTCCCTGCAGACGCCTCGTTTCAGTGTCAATCCGTTTTAGTCTCTTCAGCTGGCGAAAAATGGTTAACTCGCGCTCAATTTTGAGGAAAACCTTTCTGGACGATATCATACTACTTTTGGGGCATCGACACAGGGGGAGGAGGCGACTATTTTGGAGGGGCCTCTAAATAGTGCAAGGCGCTCAGCGGTGTAGAAGTTTATCCCCCTAGAAAACACCCAGATCCTGGTGCAATTCGGTAGAGGGCAATCACAGGGAAGGGAATCATTCAAAATGGGGACAAAAAAAAAAAAGGTTCTTCTCGTTGTTCTCTTTAAGAAGATACAACGGGTTCACCATCCAACCGTTCGTGGGGAAAACAGGATTAAGGGGTATGTGCCTCCAATGTACCGCAACTCTATCTCTAGGGAAGTGAGGAAGTGACGCGATGGTGACATCTCACTGGAAACACCAATCACGTAGGGTGAAACAAAATACCCTATCTGGCAGAGTATACGGAAAAAAATGGGGGGGAAGAAACATTCCTCCCTTAAGCTCACACGGATAAGGTATACAATGTAGAGTGTTCAGGAGTGCATGCCATTTGTCACAAATGGGGAAAAAAAAAAAAACAAAAAAAAAATTAATGAAAAAATGAGCCTAAAGAAAGAAAAAAAAAAAAAAAAACGGGCCACCCTCTGTTGATAAACACATAGCGTAAAGATTCCACGGAGAAAATGTATTCCAGAAAAATTCACGCTGTGATGACGGTTGTAAAATGTCGATCTCTTTTCCCATTATCTAAGAGTCATTGCCCTCGATGGAAAAATTCAAAGTAAATTTGAGGAGCGAAATTGAGGGGAAAATTTGAGGGGGAAAATTTGAGGGGCAAAATTTAGGGGCAGAATTGAGGGGCAGAATTGAGGGGCAGAATGAGGGGCATAATTTAGTAGCAAAATTTAGAAGCACTATTAGAAGCATAATTTGGGATAATTCTTTCCCTCCGCTTCTTCCCCCGCTCTTTCTCCCTACTCAAAAAGGCATAAGCAGTGTACCGCTGATATACATCTGTAAGTATTGACAATTTTCGGTGACATCACTCCTGTTGCGTTTCAACATAGGGGCTCGCTTATAGCTAGTTCGAAAAGGGGGTAGCTCGTTAAGTGTCCCTTTCCCCTTTCAGGTGGGGCCTCCTCCCGCATCGGAGGCGTGTTGTGCAACTCCCCCGTGCAGTTTCTTTTCCCCCAGTACTGCTTCTTTCCCACTTGGCATGCGCACAGACGCCCCGAAAGATGAGCTCCAAGATTTGGAAAGCCATTCTAAAGGACGATGTGGCCAAATTCAAGAACAGCATAGAAACCGAAGGCGATGTGAATCTAAACTTGTACAACAAGGAAGGATTAACGCTCCTATTATTTGGGATCGAAAAGGGGTGCGCCGAATGTTGCTACTATCTCGTCAATGAGCGTAATGTGAATATTTTTTTAAAAGATAAAAAGGAGAAAGACAATGCCTTGATGAAGTGTATGGTGCTTGGACATGACATGATTAACGTGAGCAGATTATTAATCGAGAAAAAAATTGATGTAAATGAAAAAAACAGAAATGGAAAAACGAGCCTGCATATAGCTAGTGAGTATAACTACGTTAAAGGCATAGAATTGTTAATAAAAAATCATGCCCAGATTAATGCCCTAGATAATGAAAATAATACTCCCCTAATGTGCTCAATTAAGAGGAGCAAAGAAGAAGCAGCGATTTTACTCATCGAAAACGGTGCAGATGTGAACATAAAAGATGAGGACATGAATTCTGTTCTGCATATTTGTGTGAGGGAACACTTAGGAAATATAGCCCAGAGTATTTTACTGACACAGAAGGTAGACATAAAAAATTGCCTCGACAAGGAAAATAATTCCCCCCTACATATAGCAGCAAAGGAAAACCAAAAAGGTTTATGCGACCTGTTTTTGAAGCACAAATTTGATGGATGCTTAAAGAACAATAAAAACGAAACGTATGATGATATTTTAAAAAAACATGAAGAAAATTATATTTTGAAAGAAGAAGAAAAGAAAAAAATTTATCAGGAGAAAGAAATCCGCAAGAGGAAGAACTACGAAGAGGTAATGCAAAAAACGGAGGTCTCCAATTTTCTCAAGATGCATAACTTAGAATCCCTGATTCCACATTTTTACAAACATAATTATGTGTACGTCGATCAGGCTTTCCTAGATGTCAATGATTCGACACTCAAGAAGATGAACCTCAGTAAAGAACAGCGCCACCTGTTTTATGAGGCCATCGATAAGCATTACTCGCAGATAGAGGACGAGCAGAACGAACAACAGTTGGCTAACCAGCAACTGCAGGAGGAGCAGCGGAGGACGAAGTGCCTCAAGTTCGTTTCTTACGTGGTGTCCCTAATATTTATCGTGATATTTATTTATAGCCTCGTCATATCCATCATCAAGCGGGGGCGCATCTTCTTTTGAGCGGGAGTGTGTGGGGGGAAGGGCGTGGCACAGCGTCAAGCAGAAAAGGCAGAAACGGCAGAAGCAGAAACGCGTGAAGACACGGCGCACCTGTGTGGTCTGACCGTGGAGTGGACACATAGAAACCATCACTTGTGCAATTCTTTCTCCAAGAAATAATGCCCATTTGTAATTGGCATACCCTAGGGTTACTGCACTTCTTAATCCTTGGCATAGACACCACCCACATTTTGTGAAGTACTCCATTTTGTGAAGTATTCCATTTTGTGAAGTACTCCATTTTTCGAAGTAGTCCATTCTTCGAAGTAGTCCATTCTTCGAAGAAGAGTTTACCTCCCCGTTTGTGCATCTTCACTTTGAACTGCGTCCCATCCTTTGTTTGTTCCTTTTTTTTTTGTTCTATTTTTTTGGTTCATTTGTGGCAATTTGTCAAATTGCCCTTTTTCGACTTATTTCCGTCCCGCACTCGGGTTCAACTTTGCCACAAGGCCGTTCCAATTTGTTCCTACCGGATGTGCATTTTTGTGGAAATGAAGAGAACTCAGTCGAGATCCTTAAACGCGTGGCTTCTTTTTTCCGCAAGAAATATGATGGGCTCGATCTCAGCAGCATGATAGCATAAAGCGGTGTGAAAATTATTTGATAAAATGGAAAACGTGAATGTCAAACACTAATGCGGGTTATGCGGACAAGTAGTTAGGTCGCTACGTGGCGATCCTTCCATTTGTCACATTTTTGTTTCGCCCGAAGTGCTCTGCCATGGTGTGCGCCGGGTTCTACAGAAAAGGGAAAGCAGATGGGGGGGAGAAGCAACCAAGCAGGGGTGTGAGGGAAGCGACAAATCAGGGAAAACCAAAACAAAATGAAACATAATGCAAGAGCCCTTCCCCATAGACCGCATAAATGCTAATACCTCCCAGCATTCCCCACTGCACATTCATTTGGCTGCCCCACGTGACTACGGAGTGGCACTACGCGGACAAAACCCGCGCGGGCTCCCGCACACTTGAACGAAGCTATCCTGGTAGCGTTTTTAAAAAAAGGGAACATGTGTTTTGGCGGTTGTTCGTTACATGCATAAGTATGTGGTATGCAATATGTGCCACGTATGTAGCAGTATGTATTCATATATATATATATGTATCTATATATGCATGTATGTATATATGTATGTATGTTTTTTTTTTTTTTTTTTTCAAAGTGAGAGGAAATCGTGCCTATCTGGCGAAACCGCAGAAAGGCTGCCTTCCTTTTTCGCTTACTTACACGGGGAAAAAACTCACCATTCAGAGCGGGTGCATAAATGTAGGAATAAAATGCAGCACTCATGGAGCGTATAGATTCGTTTCCATTTTTGCATTCCCCTTTTGAGCAGCAAATAAGGGGAATATCCCTCCTTCTGTTTGCTTTGTTGCAATGTTTAAGTAATGCCAAGGGGGAACCCTTCCATCGATGGACTCCAGCATGTAAAGTATAACTTCCCAATTGGTGCTAACTTTTCTGTTGGCACACGAATATACGCCCGTTCGAAGGAGCGCAGAGAGGCGTGGTTCTCGGCCAACCTAACAGCATAACCTAGCAGCAGGCTGAGAAGGCTTCCCCCCTTGGTTTTTTCACACAGATATATTTATACAAGCACATACATATGTACACTTATTATGTGCCTGCATTTGCACCTACCCGTGGTGCCCGCCTCTTCTCATTGAGACTTCCCAATAGGGCAGCCCACCATGACATAATAGTATCATCCATACTCACGGAAAAAGAAGAAGGCACAGAAGAGAAAAAGCTTGTATGAGTTAGGAAAAAGTCTATCAGTGAGTTGTGAAGCCAATTTTTTTGGAGACCATCCACCATTATTGCTCTGTTTCCGTAACGGACGCATGACCACATTTGTTTAAAGGATCCAATTTGCGACCCCACTCCCCCCTGTTGTTGCCACATCTCCGCTGATGAGAAGATGACCGAAGAAGTAGAGCACCACCAGGTGGACAGAGACAAGATGATGAGGCATCTTAGCGAGTTAGAAAGGAGCTACCACATTACGATGAAGGAATATGAAAACATAACGAACATCAGTGTACAGAACAATGTAGCAAATATCAGGATAATAAAAAACTTGTTCATTCTAAATACCCTCACCCATCAAGTGAATAAAAAGCATTTAATGAATGCCTTTGAAAATGTAGATAATACATTAATTTCTATTTTAAAAAGAAATAACACCAATTTTGTCTTAAAATTGGTAGCCATATTTTACCTAAATCTGTGCACCTACACAAGCTATAATATTAGGGAAATGTATGGCAGGTTATTTGAGATGACACTAAACAGATCGATGGTTAACTCCCCAAGTGAAATGAAAAGGCTCCATGAGCACTTCCTAAAAAATACGCTTCTTTTCACATCCCTAATTTTGGCACATGTACATGCTCGGATCGCTCCGCACCTTTCTTCCCTTATTGAGTACTCAAGTAATGCGCACCACGAGGGGGACTGTCTTGTGATACGGTGCCTTCCGGATGGGGGGGCTCCGTTTGTGCGTTTCTTTCGGATTGGTGCCGCGGGGTGGTGTGCGCCCATTGGGCCATGCCACTATGCAGCGGATTTAGCATGCCTCTATGCACTCGATTTAGCATGCCTCTATGCACCCGATTTAGCATGCCTCTATGCACTCGATTTAGCATGCCTCTATGCACCCGATTTAGCATGCCTCTATGCACCCGATTTAGCGTGCCACTACGCACCCGATTGATCTTCCCACTATTCACCCATTTACCACGCTGCCTTTCCCCCCCCCAGAAAAAATAAAAAAATCGGAGACCCAAGAATCCAAGTATTTCTACCTCGAGTGCACAAACAAAATAATAAAAACAGCGGAAATGACCCCCGCCGATAGCGAAAAGATCTACAAATTTCTGAAAAGACAATTTAATGAAAAGGATGAATTAATTAAAGACAGAATTGTTAAGTGTCTGACGTCCATGTTTATTGTATACCCTGAGTATTCCCTCCTAGAGTTCGACTTTTTTGTAAATTGCATCATTGACGATACTTACCTGAGTACGTATGCCTTCCTGGTCAACCTCAAACACATTATCAAGCTTCTCACCGTGATGTTCTGCAATTGTGCCAATGTGAAGTATAACCGAAGTATCAACGACCACAGTGCAGGTAAAACTAGCTCCAGAGAAGGCGCAGATGGGATGGCGTCCTTTGAGAGTGGCACAACAGTAGAGAGGGAAGATGAGGAGGATGAAGAAGAGGCAGAACAAGGGGCAGAAGAAGAGGAAAAGGAAGAAAATGAAAATGATGAGAAGACAGATGAGGAGGCAAAAAATGAGGACAAAGAAATCTACACACATGAGAAGGCAAAAGGGAGAAACAGCGGAGGCACCAAAACAACAACTGGTGAAAGCAAAAAGAAAAGTTTCTTTTCCGACTTTTTAAAAATCGCAACAGACGAAATAGTGTCTAAAATTAGCAAAATAAAGTTAGAAGAAAAAGAGGGAGGAAAAAATTACATTAAGCTAGATCATGTGGATGGGTTTCTATTTCTCATTGATAACCTCTTTAATAGAAAAATTGTCAGAAATAAAAAGAGCGTGTTATTTGTCTACGACTTCGCTTCCTTTATAGTCTTCTTTAAGAGGACTCTGCTGAACATGTTTAGCGATTTTCATCACGATTACACGGAATTGAAGAAGCTCCACTTTTTGAGGAAGTTGGACAAGTTCGCTTACTACGCAGATGTTCTACACCACTTTGGAACGGATGTGTTCACCCATGGTGGGAGTGGCGCTGGAGATGGATGCGGATGTGCAGGTGGAGGCAAAGTGTACGAATTTTTTCGAAAGCAGAAGAAGGGGACCAGAATGAGAGCGAAATCAGCGGTGTCTACATATCCATCTGCTTCTGTCGCTGCTGGAGGGGAAGCAAGCGACAGCGATTGGTTTATCAATTACCTCCTCGAGAAGGACTACAAATTGATGAAAGGGAAGGAACCACTGCGTTACAATGATTTACACATATCAATTGAGGAAAAAAAAATCTTCGAAACGTATTGCTCCCTGGTAAGTAGTACCCTGTTAAGAAGCATTTTCTTCCAGTCCTTTAAAAATTTCCTCTCATTTTCGAAGAAATTTTCTGGAAAGTCAGTCATAAAGATTATCAAGCTGTTTCTGCACCTGTTGGATGTGACATGCACAAATTGTTCCAAAAAGAAAAACATAAAAAATCCCCTCCACACGAACAATATAGCAAATAGCTTCGAAATAAATTTCCTCCTCTTCTACTTCATCGACATTGTAGAGGAGTTGGTCAGGAAGAGAAAAAGAGACCCCTATACGATTGTTAAGGAGAAGGTGTACAAGGCGAGGCAGAGGGAGAAGCAATTGGAATGGGAGAAGGAAAAGCAGATGGGGAGGGAGATAGAGAGGGAGAGGGAAAGGTGCAAAATGGACGGCACTAAGGAACACGATCATCGCGCAGGAAGGAGGCGCACTGCACATGAGAAGGAGGAAAACGGCAGGAAAAACTTCGCACATATTGGAAATGAAAACTTGAGTGAAGCTCCCTCATCGAGTGATCCTCACGGAGGGAAGAATGACTCAAGTTGGTACAATCCAAGGAGTAGCACTTCCAGTCAAAACGGGAGAAACTCAACGAATGGCAGTAAAAGGAAAAAGGAGTTAACAACCGTGAAGCGAAAAAGTAAAAGGAACGAAGAAAAGAACATCGAAGAAGAAGATAACAAAGTGAGGACCTACATACAGAATCAAGTAAAGAATTATTTAATACAAAACAATGATACCAATATGGATGTGAATGAAAAAAAAAAAAATAACATTCTCCTTAAAGGGCTGATCATTTTGTACACTAAAGCCATAGTAAACAATAGGAGCATAAAAAAGGGCAAGTATGACAAGTATGAGAGCTTTCTGAAAATCATCCTCAACAACATGAACGGCGTTCACATTGATATAGATCTAGTCAGACACATCATACATTTATTTGTCAAGATATTTTTAAAGTTCCCTCAGTACACATATAATTTAATAACCCTGCTGGTAAATTACATTACAATAATTAACGCTAACTTTATGACCTCCTTAACTCTGAACACTTTTGACGATATAGAAAAACAAGTGAGCATATTAATTATCAGTTCCGTTTCGTTAGAGAACATTTTGTTCTCCTCCTCCCGGTTCTACAGATTGTACCATTTGAATAATTTAATTCTGTGCGTTTTTGATATATGCAAATTGTTTTTGTCCAAGGTGCAGACACACCCTTTGAAGACCATCAACGAGCTGAGGAAAATAATTTCCTTTTCGCTTATTCATGCCATCACGTGCGTGGTTGTCTACGAAGAGGTGCGCAACAGGCGCAGTGAGGGGAGCGATAAGCAGATCGGTCGGGAAAGCAGTGGGGTGAGCGGTAGGGAACGCATCTCCGAAGAGGAATCCCGCGGAAGCACCACCCCCGAAAGGACGCAGGAACATTTCGCCAAACATGAGCCGCTCTACGACAATGTCCTCTTCAAACTGCTGATGGATATTCTGCGCGAAATGCTCAACGAAATTGAGGAGGAGAAAATGCAGCGCTTTATCAGTTCCTATGAAGAACAAATTAAAAAAAAAAAAATGAACTCAATGAATTTCTTTATTGTGGATAATTTATTCATCCTAGTGTACATCTTAAAAAGTGTGCACACTATCCTAGCATCAGACATTCTGACCTTTTTCTTTTTTGATCATATTTACAAAATTGTGCAAACCCTGTTCGATTTCTTGCGCCAAATATATCAGGCAGAAAAGGACCATTACCACAATGGCTGTGAAAATTACGAAGCGCAGGTAGTCATGATAACCCCCGCCGGAAAAGGCAAAGGGAAAAGCATCAACAGTGGAAATTATTCCAAAAGAGAGGGAAAAAAGTCCTTCCACTTCTTCGAGTACGGATTTACTCAAATGTGCCGATTGATAAACATTGAAAATGTTTTTTTGATTTTCCTGATTTACATGCTGAAGATTTTTTGCCGCGTCTTCAAATTTGTGAAGCAGAAAATGGGGAAGGGAGCAAAAAATGCAGGGTTGTCAGAGGGCGCCTCGCTTGGAAAAAACGGAACCAACATGTGTATCGAATCTGTCGAGGAGCCATCCCCTCGTGAGGGAAGCTACTGTGGGGGAAATTACAAACAGGGCAGCAGAAGCACTGCCACGACAATAACTGCGACGGGGGAGGTCGCTACCACCACTGCTAATGTGACCTTTGTGACTGTCCCACCGAACCAACCATTTGCCCCCATATGGGAGGCGCTGATCCAGGCCAAGTCTCGCGAGGGAGCGCCCTTTGACGTCTTCCTCGACTTGCTGATCTATCTGGTGAAGAATAAAGACAAGGACAATTTTAACAACGCAGTTATTAACATCCTGCAGAGGGAAGAAGAAAACCGCAAGGCAAAGAAAAAAAGGAAGAAAACTACCACCCATGGTGAAAAAAGGAAGAGGCAACTTTTTGGGGAAGACCCAGAATTGGACATCCTAAACATGCTGACGAATAACTACGAAGCCTATTACGAATTGGTCCTAATCCATTTCGTGCAACTCTTCCAACTGTATGTAGAGAAGAAGAAATATTTCAACGTGATTATAAAAAATATCTACAGGTGTCTCCTAAATGTGGAGTTAAATAGAAATGAGTTCATAATTTATTTGCTAATTTTGGATAATTTTTTAAAAGCTAAATTTTTTAACAAGAAAAAAGGAAAAATTTTCAAATGTATGTTACCCATATTTAATGTACTGAACAACCATTTTGTGAATCCAAATAGTGGACTTTTAAATGCTCTTTTGATAAAAAATTTGACTCATTTTATTTGTCACGATGATAATATAGACGCCTACATCTTCAGTTATCTTACGAAATTGTACCAGGCATACTCCCGACAGATCCTGCAGGAACAATATCTGTGTATCGTTTTTTCTACGTTTCTAAAAAGTGTCATTTTGTCTTATATCAAAATTGAAGATAATAATTCATATGTGATGAAAAATGTCATTACTGCGACGGAAGAAAACAGGATGGCCAACGTGGGGGGGACATTCCCCTCTAGTAATTTAACTACCGCCTCTTTGTGTAGCAGCACCTTTTTGGATACTCCAAGTAGCACACCTAGTCGGAGCCATTTCGCAGCTAAGGGGAGAGAGATAAATAATTTCAAGCGCAAGAGAACCATTTTCACTCTCGAAAACTTCCGAACGTTGGATTTATTCCAACTGATGAGCTTTCTAGGACAACGGATGAGGAGAAGATCCTCTAAAAGAATCAAACGTATCGAATTTAACAATCGCGAAAAAAAGGGTAAATTGGAAAAATGTTCCAGTAGTGGGGTAGTAAGCTGCGGACCGGGTAAGATAAACCATGTGGACAGACTAGCGCATGCTAAACTGTTTAGTCAAGAAAAGGGAAAGATCCTAGAATTCTTTGATACCTACTTGAACATGCTGAAGGTGATTCCACACGATAACAAAGTGTTCGCGCTGGTTTTGAGAAACTTCAACGTGGTGGTACGAAAGATGAACACGAGAGTGAACCTGTACAGGATTAGGGATTGCCTGGATGTGGTGCTGGCCTACATCCTGAAAGCGGAGAACGCGAACATGTATCGCTTCGAAATTGAACGCGGAGGGGGTATCATAGGGCTGTTTAACAACCTGTTGAGGGTTCTGCGGAAGGGGGGCATGCGAAGCGTCGGGAAAGGCGGCAATAAGGCGGGGGTCAAAAAGGGCCACAGAATACCCACCTGTAAGGAGCGTTCCACGAAGAAGAAACTCTCCGCCTCCCAGAGACAAACATGCTTCGAAGTCGAGAGTAACGTGCTGAACATATTCGAAATTTTCCTGATCTGTTATGAAAAGAAAACGGACCGCCGTCTCTTCACCACGATTAACAGCATGTTCCATTTGGTGAAGAGGAAGAAGATGGAAAAATTTATGAGCAAAATATCTATACTGATACAGAGGAACATATTTTTAGAAAGAGATAGGAATAAAATCCATGTCGCAATAAAGTGCGTCTATAAATTGCTGAAGAGGAAGGTGCACATTCCATTAAGCGAAAATTTTGATTATCATCTGTTGGTGATTTATCACCACAGTGAAGAGAATTTAGACAAGTGCTTCACAGACTTGCTGAAAATGAGGATACTCACATATGGCTTTTATAATGTTAACCAGTGGACTAAATTGTTTGACAGGATTTTGAATGCTAAAAATATGTTCCTGTATGATCTCATAAAGTATCGGTCCAAGGGAAGGTACGCCAAGTATGAAAGCCATGATTGTAATAAAAATTCGCCTGAACAGGATTCCACGAAAGAAAATAACTTACTAACCAATGAGAAACAGCCAAATGAGGAACTGAAGAGCTGCTCCACCTTCCACACCTCATTGTTTAGAAAACATTTTGCCCACCAGACACACATAAATTTAAAAGAAGAAAATGAGCGAAAGGGGCGAAACAAAGCTATGTACTTTTTTAACGTTTTCAAATTGAGACAAAGTGATTTAAACTTCTCCTTTGAAACAAAACATTTGGTAATGAAATTGTTGTTATTCTTTTTAAAAACTGTTAGTCTTTCCCCCCTTGCGTTTGTGCACAACGACGCTTACTATGTGAGTTACGTGAAGAAGCGCCTGAAGGAGGGACCCCTGAGTGGGAGGGTGCCAGCCAACGGCCAGGAAAGACCTACAGGCGGTAGGATTGGTGATGCTGGGAATTTGAAAGCAGCTGCGCGGGAAAGATACACCCAGGAAGGGTCCCCAAGTAGCAGCGGGGGAGGTAGCAGCAGGTGCACGCGAAGAAGCCACAGCAGTGACAGCAGCTGTAGTCACCTCGGACCACCTCATCAAGCTAGCGCATGGAATAAAATGAGCAAAACGGCATATATCCCCCCACGTGATAAATTCTGCAAGAAGGAAGGGAACGACAAGAGAAAGGACCAAATAAGTTACATCGAAGATGTGCTCATTCGTAGGTGTCTCAAAGGGGAGACCGAAAAATGGAAGTCTACATTTAACAACATAGACATAGAAAATATCCTGGACAAGTTTTCCTTGTATGATAATTTCGAACCAATGTTAAACATCATATTGCACAATATAAATCATGGAATCAGATTTGACAGATTATCTGGACTAGCCATAAAAGCTTTGATTCGATTCTTAAAAATTTTTAAGAGCTCCAAAATAATTTTGGATGAATTTTCTAGTACCCCTGAAATTATGCTGCTGACAAATTACGAAATTAATATTTTTACCTCGTTGAAGATGTACTATGAGTCGTTTCATTTTCTCTATTTTAGCTACCTAGATGGCCATCCTCTGGGGGAGGATAATCCCGACGCAGTGGGAGATAAACCCAACGAGCATCTGCAATTTTCGCACTTTTTTCTTCACCCCCTGATGAGGGTGTACAATTTGTTTCTATTCCTAAACGAAATTGGGTTGTGTAATTCGCACTCAAAATTTGTGGAATACTTTTTTTATTTTGCCATGAAGGGAGATCATGCCGTTAGGGAACAACTCGCAGAATGTACACAATATGGACAGGAAAAATCTGAGATGACAAACGGGGATGTTTCCATGAATGGACATCACGCTTCTAATGGGGGTGCTCCCTTACTCGTGGGGGGAAGGAAGAAAATCCCTACAATAAACTCGTCGCTTTTCTTCTCAGAATTTGATTCCTGCGTTTACTACCTCTTTTCATACAAATCATTCTGTCTCTACGTAATAAATAGCGAGAAGGCCCAGAGAAACCAGGGAATCTTTAACATAAAAACAGTGGTAAAGAATATTAGCTACATTTTGTATGACACGATTGTTCTATACTTTTGGTCATTTGGGAATGACAGAGGAGGAGAGGACTGCCAAGAACAAGTGGTTCACAGATTTTTTACCTGCATGAATGAGAAGGCAAGAAGCTTGTCCATTTTTTATTTTAGTGCATTTACAATATTTTTGCAATTTTTAAATATCATAAGGAGGAGCAACAACCTTGTCATAAGTGCGAAGAATTGTACGCTCTTCAAAACATTAATATATTTTCTGTGCTACCATTTGAAGGAGCACAAGGACAGATTAAAAGAGGAAACCAAGGAGATATACTTCTCGTTCATTTTGGGGTACTTAACTTTGACTGGATTTGTTTCAGATTTGTCCCACGACGTCATAAACACCATTTCTGAGCAGGGAGACGTTACATGGAGCGAGACACAGCTCTCCAGTTCAGTAACGGCCGAACGGAGGGAGAAAAAATTTCATCGCATTGAGAACTCAAGCAAAAGTAACACCAGTGGAGACATATCTAAACCGTTGTTTCAGTCTACTGGAACTGCGCAGCTTTTTTACGACGCGTCAAGGACCCCCTTTTTAAAAACCGTTTTGGATTACGTTCTGAAAAATTTGGTAATCTTGGTGAACGAAAAGGTTTTACCAAGCGTGCTCGAATTTGTCTCTGTGGCACATAAGAATTTCGCAAATGTGCAGGGTGCAGGGGAGACCCACCACATCGTGCTGAGAAAAGTGTTCACGCTGCACTTCTTCGTATTGGGTAAGTTTTTGACAAAGCGGCGTTACGGCGATAGAAGCCGCGGTGCTCTGTTCAGAGGGGCGCATGATGGAGAGATGCTAACCCGACTGTGGAACTCCGTGCTCAGCTGCTACACCCTCCTGGAGAGGTTACAAAGGGAGCAGCTAGAAGAAGGAAAGGCGGCAGGGGGAGAGGCAGCAGAGGAAAACGCAGCAGATGCAAAAGCGACAAAGCCAGAAGCGACAGATACAAACGCAACAGATACAAACGCAACAGATACAAACGCAACAGATGCAAACGCGACCAAATCCAAAATGGCTCACAAAATAAAAGCGCTGCTGCAGGCGCTGTTCCTCCAGAAGATGAATCTCCTGAAGGAGGAGAAGCTGAGCACCAGGCTGCTGAAATTGTTCTTTCAAAACAGCAGCGAAAGTGATGTGCAGATTTACCTAAGCCATATGAAAAGCTACAAAGGGAAAATGGCCAAAATGGTGAAAGACCAAGATTTGCCGCGCTTAAAACTATTTTACATAAAGGTCATCATTTTTATATATTATATCAACACAACAGACATGATGGATGGAAGAAGCAGGGTGTATTACACGGAAGAAATATTGGACGTGTTTATCGCCGCCTCACGTAGGATGAAAATGGCATACCAGGACATGGGCAAGCAAATAAAGCGAACAAATATAAGCTCCAAAAAAAAACAAGAAAAAAATGGTCACACAAAGAACCAAATTATACACTCCTTTTTAAATGTCATAAAGAATATATTTACCCTTTTACTAAAGAGGGAAGATAGAATCGTTTCTTATTTTACACATAATTTGATAAAAAACGGCATGCTGCCCATCGTTCTGGTTAACCATCCCACCGATAGTGTGCACTACGAAGAATTGATACCACATAATTCGTACGAGGAAGATATTATTACCTACCCCGTCAAAATTTTAAACTCCTTTTTTGACACCTTCATCAGTAGAGAGGGACTCGTGAGGAAGGTTCTTATTCCGTACGTCACCTTTGTTCACCAAGTTTGCCGTTTATGTGATGCCAACAGGATTGACATTACAAAGTCTTTCTTGACGCTCCAGACGGATGGAGAGAAGGCGATTAACCCGTTAAGTCGGGCTGACGAGCGTCTGGCTCATGAGCGTCTGGCTGACGGGACTTCTTGCCCACAGAACGGTTTCCCTTGCGCAGCAGTGGTAGGCACGGGAAGTGGCACCATGACGATATATTTCAAAGAGGTAACAAACGTTTTTAGAAATATCGCCTTTAAGAATGCCTCGTTTTTTAAGCACATCCTGGCGGACATCACTGGGGAGGAAAAAGTCATGGTCTATAACCTGATCAAAGAGGCGATTGCTGTGGAGAGCGAGACGGAGCAGCGGAATAAGCAGGAGGAGGAAAAGCTGGACTTCAGCTTTGTGAATTAGGAAAACGCCTGCGGGGGGTAAGCGGGGTGTTAAGCGGGGTGTTACGCGGGGTGTTACGCGGGGTGCTAAGAGGGGTATAATTAAAGCAGAGTGCCGTTTCGGGAAGTTCCTATCGAGATGTTTTTACCGTCGAGTTAGATTCTCTTTTTTCGAAGAAGCTTCCATTTTGGCGTGGCTTGCCATGCGACATTATTGGAGAAAATTCTGCTCACCCGATCAGCTACTAAAGCAAGTGTACGGGAAATTCTTTTCAGCCACGTTAAATCTGCAGATGGGTGTGCGCAACGTTTAGGTTCACGTTTAGCGCGGACGTGGTGATGCGTTCTAGGACATCTTAACTTTGTATGTTCATCGCCTTATGAGCGCACCTCTACATTGAAAACGGGCGCTTGTGTCAGTGACGCATAGCCGACATCGTTGCAATTAACGTGTAGGTAGATAAACACCAATGTGAATTCTGCATCACACAGGATGGGCCAGCCCTCTCCCTCTGCTTTGGAAAACGCCTGCATGGAGGAATAACCCCTCATACTTGATTTATTCGTGCCCTAGGGTTACTGCTCCGTTGCGACTCCTTGCGTGGATCTTCCTACAAGCCAAGCTGTTTTTTCACCCAAAAATGGCATTCGTCACACTTGATGGCCCTTTCATATACCCGCACCGCAAGGTACACATGACATAATTTTACCCTTTTTGAGCTTGCACAAGGATACCTTTTTCTCCTTCCCTTTTTTTTTTTTTTATTGCGCTTTGTATACTTTTCCATGCTACACACTGTTTGACCACTTCTGAGTAAAAACAGCAACAGGTCAAAGTGGATATTTTTGAATCTGCAGAATTTTGTATGCAGCGGAGGTAACCCTTTGCGAGTCTCAAAAGGGAAGTTACTATTGGGTGAACAAACAGATAAAGGAAAACACATTGTGATGGTTTTTTTTTTTTTTGTTTTTTTTTTTTTGGTAACTGATTAGTAATATGCGCGAAAAACTCGGTCCTGATAAGCATATTATGCCCACCCGCAGGAAACTATCTGCAGTAAGCTGCTCCCTTTGTGAGGTCCCCTATATTTAGCAGGTTGAAAGAAAACAAAAGGAAAGAATTTTATTTTAATTGTTACTCACTTCGAAATGGTAAGCCCCGCAAAAAGGCATAGCGAGGGTCATATCCAGCGCCACGATATTGCCGATTTAGGAAAGCTCCAAATGTATGACTCCTTTTCATTTTCCCTTCTTTTTCGCGCAAAACCAAAATGAAGGATCATTTGCACATCATCGGGTTAGGCGACTTTTTCGCAGATGCAAAAAAATGTTGGGTTCTTTTGGCTAGCAAGTCCCCAAGAAGAATAGAGTTAATGAAATTAATGGGGATATCAAATTTATACATTTGTGAATCAGGATTTGAGGAAAACTTAGATAAAGAACAGTTTGCTTCTGCTGAGCATTATGTTAAAGAAAATGCCTTACAGAAGGGGTTAAATGTAGCCAACCATGTCTGGTTTGGGGATCAAGTCAATACTCATAGCGAGGGAAACCCTAAAGAAGCGGAAAAAAAAAACACACAAGGGAGTAATAGTGGTGATTTGTCAAGGGGCCAGCCCAATAACGCACCGCATTGTACCGATGCAACAAAAAAGCAACAGCTGAAAAGTTTGTATAGCACCTATGACCCAATGCCAAATGTTATAATCTCATGCGACACGATCGTTACGCTCAAGGACGAAATAATAGAAAAACCTCTCAACAGGGAGCACGCGTTTGAAATTTTAAAAAAGCTATCATCTAATGTCCATTGTGTTTATACAGCTGTCTGTATATTTTTACACAAAACAAAAGTACCCATAACATTTATCGAAAAAACAGACGTACATTTTGACAACTTGCATGAGCGAGACATTCTGGAATATTTAAATTCGAGTGAACCGTATGATAAAGCTGGCGCTTACTCTATCCAAGAAGTCGGCTGTCAGTTTATAAAAAAAATTAATGGGTGCTATTACAACGTTATGGGGTTACCAATTAATAAACTCTCCAGAACGTTGACGCAGTTATGTGTGGAGGGGAAAATATCAGTTTCATAGGCACGAAGAGCGCCAGTCAAATGGGCTTCCTAAGTGTGTATTCATCGGAGCGCACCCAACAAACGTACATCAGAAAATAGGTTTAATCACACGTACAAGCTAGCGTGCCCGTGGATACTTCTAACGCAAATGTGAAGATGGCCTTTATCCATTTTGTCTCGCACACCACGTATCTCTCTACGATTAATGTGTATTCCAATCGACGACAGGCCAAAATACCAAACTGTTCTTTTTTAACCAAACAGTTCCTTTTTAACCAAACAGTTCCTTTTTAACCAAACAGTTCTTTTTTAACCAAATGTGCAAAATGGAGGGGAAAAATGAAATCTTCTAAAAAGAAGACCTTCCCATTGTGTGGATTTATCAACGTATGAAAAATGGAAAGGAGGCAAACTTCATTAAAAAAATATACCACAGAATGTATTCCTTTTAGCTAGCGCCACTGAGGATAACACCATTTTTAGGCAACGCATACCACACGCACCGCTTTGCAGACGCGCACAAATGAAAAAAAAAAAAAATTAACTACATTTCTCATTATTAAATAGGAGGAATACAAAAGAAGAATACACAAAAATTAAGATTTATCTGGTTTTGTGCAGCTAAGGGGAAAATATAAACATATGTGTATGTGGAAGAAAAATCGTATCACCCTGCGGGCAAAACGTTGCTTTTTTTTCTGGCGTGAAGGCATTCCCTTTATCTACAAAAGGGAATTTTATTATTTTATTTTATTATACTCTATTTATTTTATTTTTTCCTTCAGTACGTATGCCACTATTTCTTCCGGGTAGCGACAAAACACCTTGCGCGTGAATGTATGTACTTCCCCTGCTGTTAAAATAGAAGCACGCAACAAACGTGTGCACATATATACGTGTATATATACATATATGTGTATATACATATGCTATATGTACGCGAGGTGGAATGCAGGCCGAAAGCTACCTTGGTCGGTGTTCTACCCACTTTGCTGCTCTACTGTGAATAAGAGAAGACACAAAACATTTTTCTCACCGCTCTTGCGATCAGTCTGTTTACTTGTTTATGTGTATAAGCATCCTCCCAGGGTGCCTTCTGCCCATTTATGCTATAACGGGCACAACTGTTGCCCTCACAATTCAGCACTACTGCCGCGACGAAAAGGGAGTAAACACGTGAACGGACTGATAAATGGGTTTAGCGAAAAAACCCAAGAATTGAAAAACGTTTTGTCAACGGTAAGAAAAGAGCGCGAAGCAAGCGTTAACCTTTTGTCTCCTTTTTCGTGCCATTCCGACATCCAACATTTTACAAAGCGTGTGTAGGTACAGCGCAATTGCACAGGTCTATTTTGTTTGGCTCCGTTCCGCCTAGTCCCTTTTTCATATATTTCTATTGTCCCCTATATCACCTCTCGAAAGTGAATTGAGAAGGAACGCAAGTCTCCACACTGGAAGGAGTTTGAGCATGCGAATGGTGAAACGAACGAGAGTGCCATGCGTCTGCAATTTATGCACATGTAGGATAAACATATAATCTAAGGAGAGAGAAAAAAAATAAAAAAAAAAAAGAATAAAATAAAAAAGAGATTGATAAATCGACCGGGAGGTGGCACCAAAAGGGGCATGCTGAAAAACTCGCTTTCCTCATTCAACAAGAAAAAGAGGCAGCGGTCGAGGTGAAACAACCAAACGGGGCGCCATTCCGATAGCGCCTTCAAGGCCCGTGAGGATTACTTAATGGACTACACGCAATTTGACACGAGTGGTGGTGCAGGGGGTGACTCAAAAGGTGTCCTACAAAATGGCGCGAATTGGAGCTTCAAATACGACGCGCTGAATGGGGAGCGGCTGAATGGAAAAGTAGCTAGTACGAAACTAATTAGCGCAAATTCGCAGAAAGCAGAGCAGCTAGCCACGCAGAAGCACAAAGAGAAGGGAAATTTTAAGCGAATAATACACAACACCATCCGTCTATTCAAGTCACAAATTTTAAGGGGCTTAATATTTAAAGAACAAAAAGTAATAGAACCGGAAAAAGAAATATTCAACATGAGATTCTTCCTAAATGATGAGCCAACCGATAGCCTCCCCCAAAGTGTGGTAACCCATAAGCAGAGCAGCGAAGTGAGCAAAGTTGCAGAAAGGAAAAAACAGATTGTCACTAAGAATGACAAAATAATTCCACTGAAAAAATCTATCAAAGCTATAATCGATAAGCCCATAAGTAAAAAAATTCAATTGAAAGAAAAGACTCTCGAGGATAACTCGCAAACGAGTGAAACGTCCCTTCTATCCAGTGAGCCATTCGAAAAGTGTTACGAGGTGGAAATAAATGAATCCAAAATTCCTCGGATTCAGGAATTATTTGGACGAATGAGAAAAGGAAGTGACTCCACGGAAATGGATGGAGAGGCGTCGGTCGGCAAGGGGGATAGACGCGTCGGAAGGTGCAACATGTTGTGGGATAGCACCCATAGTAGTAGCGGTGGGAGCGGCAAAAGTGATGAAAGCAGCGAAAGTGATGAAAGCAGGCAAAACGGTGAAAACTATAAAAGCCGTGGTAGACGTGCCCCGTTAGGCGAAGAACTCAAGGAGACCGCCCCCCTAGGACACAAAGCCAGCATCTTTAATAACCTACTACAAAGTGTGAAGCCTTGTAGAAGCTACAATATGGATGAGAGCCACCCATTATACAACTCCTTGTGCAAAAATGAAGACTCCTTCTTAAGTTCCAACTGGCACGATCGAATCAATTACGCATTCCGAAACATATGGGCCTTAAAGGAATATATACCCGATGACAAAAGTGAGGGCGAAAGAGAAAAGGAGTTTTATAACGAGCTAGAATTATTTCACATGTCCAGCAAAATAGGGGCCTGTGGATTAATATACTCTCTATTTTTTCGAAAGCAAGAATCGGAGAATAACTCAATAAGTTATTTTAAAAAATGTTTTGTCCAAGTGTCGAAAGAGAGCTATCCTCACATTTACAAAATATACAGACCCAAATTTGATGATGATTTAGTTTTCCTATTTGACAGTCTCGTCTTTACGGTAATTTTGGGAAGCAGAAGGAATGGCATCAATTATAACATGGCAAGAAAAATATACAGCAATGATATTAAGGGAAAGAACGTGCTATGTGATTGTATATTTAGTCTGAAAAACGGTTCGAAGTTTTCGTTACCTGTGGCTAGCCAAATTGACTTCATGGGGATGCGCGTCATTTCGGAACCGCTAATGCCTTTAAGTGAGGCCTACCCCCCTGTAGATGTCATTAAGGACATATTTAGAGGGTTCACATTTAGCAATTACATAAGTGATGGTGGTGACAACGAGGGTGCCAATGGGAATAAGTACCACCTCAATGGTAAGCAGACAATGGAGAGGACACCACAAAATAAACGTAATAATTTACCCAACGAGGAAAAACACCTAAAGAAGAAAAAGGAAAAGATGTTCTATGAAAGGCTGCTGTTGGAGATGGAAAACTATGACCACGAGTTGTACCAGCAGATAATGCAAATGAGCGATTCTATGAATTACCACTGCTGTATTTTCCCCTTTGGATTCTCCAACTACTACGAATGTAAAGTGTTTAAAAAGAGAAACAATGTAAAAATTTTCAAATCGCTAATTGACAATCTGTTCATTGTACGTGGGGCAGAAGAGGTACTCCCCCCATATGTTGACAACACAAATGGAGGAGGAGACTTCACCAAAAGGATAAGATACGAGTTCATAAAAGATTACTATCAGCACTCATTAAGTAATACCACCTTAGCTATTGACATTCAGAATTATAAATTGAAAAAGTATAAAAATAATGTCGACCTATTGAAAGACGCTAGTAGGGAATGCGTCCACAACATTGACAATTATATTTTACCCAAAGTTGTAAATATCGTCTCAAATTTTAGCGACAGTTTTGACATTACACAGGTTTATCACTCCCACGGGGTTAACATGCATCACCTGGGCTATCTGCTACGCACTTATAGGGACACTGTACCCCCGGAATTCCTGTCAGAGGTTATCTGCAGAGAAATTATTTGCCGCACACTCAAATCCATATATTATGAGCACATACATTCGTTTCTGTTAGGAGCACTTGGAAGAGACAAAAGGGGTAGAAGCGCAAACATTAGAAGTGGAAATCAGCATTGTTCTGATAATGCCTACTCTGTGTTCCCTTTCATTAATGAGGATAATGTCCATCATTATGACCTGGCCAGTGGTAGCAGCAGGCAGATGACGAATGACCAGTGGAAGCAGGGGACACTCGAAGGATGCAACAAATTTATATGCTTCTGCGAAAAGTGTTTCACGGAGTGGGATTATTTTCCCGAGTTTGTGCCACATAAATTGCTAATTCGGTTGGCAAACTTAACCCTAAATGTTCAGACAGTAAATTCACTGCAATTCTGGCACCAGGTGTTAATTCCAGAGTGCATAAGCAAATTTAAAATAAATTTAAGCGACCATATTAACATTAAGGAGATTGAAGTTTACGGACTGCTCGTCTGCATGGAGTACCACTTCGGCGTCTACTTTAACAAGGAATGTAAGCGGAATTATAAGGTGAGGTTGCCTCTAACCTTGGAGGATATGTCTTCCTTTGGTTCCAAGAAGGAGGGCGTTCTTTTTCCGAATGTTGCCCACCTGAGGGGGATCTGCGACTGGGGGGGGGGAGAAGCGACTGAAAAAGAGATTGGAGAATCGATCGCAGAGGCGACTGCAGAACCGATCGGAGAAGCTCCAAGTGAAATCTCGAGCGACCAGTGTGATGACGAACCAAGCCCTGCAAATCCCTATGGGTATATGAGCGAAGCGGCCAGAAGTGACACCCGTGCGAGGGAGAGGGGACACGCTTACAAGTCTCCCTACAGGGCTTCCACCACGGTCGCACAAAACAGCGCACACAGGGGTTACAACAGATCAGGCCGTGGTGTAAGTGGAGGCTGGAAAGGCAAACCTACGTGGGAGAAAAGAACAATCACAAGCAATGACGATGATAGTTCTGCCCTCTCCACCAATGATAGCACCCAAATTGGACACCAAAACGTGTACTCCTTGGTTGACAAAATACGCAAAAAAAAATGCTTATCCTTGCGGAGAAGTAACCGTGGGGGAGAAAAACACAAAAGGGAGCTTACACCTAGCGCCACCGTGGATAATCGCATAAGGGAGAACCTCCAGAGCAATCGGCACCAGTGCAGTAATTTCCAAAGGAGTAACATCGCTCTCTTTTATCCCAAGACGAACGGATGCTTTCCGAAGTATGCCACGTGGAGTTTCAGAACGATGGAAAAGCTCATATCATCAAACATCATGGTGCAGGAAAAATTTAAAGTAAAAAATATGCTAAAGGAAAACATTCTGAACATAATACACCCGAAACAGAGCGACTTTTTACAGATGAGCAATATATGCACACTTGGCTCCTGCAACAAAATCAAGAGCTTTATCAATGAGTATAATGTTCCTTGCCACCCCTACTGCATACTGAATGAAAAAATGAAATGTATAAATTATGTTAGGGCTAAGAAGTGCATTTATCTCCTGCTAAATGTTAGTCTGAATAAAAACATTTTCGAGTTATCCAAATGGTTTTTGTTTCTGGCCTATCTGCATTTCGAGCATGGCTATGTGAAGAAGTGCTTAGACGTTTGCTACTACATTTATGGGGTGATTCCGAACATAGGCACCCTAAGGAGGGACATACTCGTCCTAATCCTTCAGTGCAAAGTGAAGGAGGGGAATATAGACGATGCGCTAATAATTTACAAGCTCATCGTCATTTTTAACAAATTTTATGAGGGACATGGGAACAGCGTCCAGACGCTTGTTTGCAACGTGCTAATGGCTAGCTACTACTATGATAGGGCAAACGAGTGCAGTGGGAGGAGTAGCAGAGGGAGAAATCCGAGTCGGAATGACATCTGTGAGAAGGTCTTCTGTGACAAAGGGTGGGAGGATTACCTCGGTAACATTCCCAGTGTAGAGTGTAGAAATCACGACCCCGATGATTATCAAACGAGTGAAGCTACCAAAAAGAAAGAATATGCAAAGAACAAGTTGTTGCTAGACCAAGTGGACCATTTGGAGTTAAAGAAAAAGTATTTACTAAAAGCCTTGCACTACTCGGAAGAAAGCTATAGAGTCATTTCAACAACGTTATGTGATATTTCTATGCATTACGTGTGCATATTTGCACTGATACTACAAGGGAATATTTTAATGGGGCTACAAAAATTCCAGAGCGCGATAAAGTACTATACGATATCGCTGCAGAATTGTGAACGAGCCAAACTCCCTAACTTTGTTACATTGCACAATAAATGCCTACTAGCGGACTCGTTAAAAAATAACGGCAATTATGATAAAGCCATCGAAATAGCAGAAGAATGCCTAAAGACATTAAGCAGCTGCACGAAGTCGTCACGCAGTCTAACACTGTATGTAATTTTTCGGCTAGCTGAGATGAAGCAGTACATAGGGTGTAGAGATTTAATTTATCCAAATATCTTCTTAGGAAACATTTCCAATGTTCACATTAAAAAAAGAATTACCACTTCAGATTTTCTCATCTTCGAAAAAAGCTACTTGAATGAAAAGAATAAAAAGTATAGAAAGGAGTCAATTGACTTGTACATAAAATTATACGATAAGTTAAGAAGCCAGAAGAACTACAACCTCGTTTTTGCTAAAGACATTTTCGGGTGCTACTACACCAAGGATGATTTCTTATCCTACCAGGATGTCAAAACAGACATGGCAGAAGAGGATATGGAAAAAATTTTCCTAGTGATACAAGAGATCCTCAAAATAAAGGTAATTTCGTTAAGCATGAAGAAGCAGTTCATGTTGGCTTCTAAACTGTTGGGCATCGTGTTAACAAAGAATTCTTCCTCTTTTGTAAGAGAATTGACGCTGCTAAGAAGGGGGGCAAAAAAGGGGGAAAGAAATGGAGCGTACGAACAGAACCTACCATATGGTAAGTTCCCCCCCTATGAGTGCACCTCCACGGGGGTACACCCCAGCGTGAAAAAAAGGGAAGAAGACCATTTGGGTAGCACGACACACAACCAGAACAATGACCAAGTGTACATAACCGACCTTCTCAGCGATGTGCAGACAAATATCCAGCAGAAATATCCCAGAAAAACTTTAAATTTCCAACTTGATGATTTCCACCAAAGTAGGCAAAGCAATTTCTTCCACAGAAGTTGTTACACACGCGAATATGATTACATATCTATCGAGAAGCTCCTCTTCGATGACACTTATTTTGTCATAGAAGACATATGCAAATACTGCTATTCAAAATGTGACACGTATAATAGTAAGCAAAAGGTTGGGGCAGAGACGAATTCGACTTACTTGCTAAACCCTAGCCTATGGTTTGATTTACTTTTCTTTTCCGTCATGAAAGGCACTTGTAGTCATAACGAACTGCTCATCCTCATCGACTTGGTTAAATTTTTCCTAACGCCTTTGCAGAAGCAGCTAATTTTATTTCATGTCAAATCGTTAAGCAATATTCGCGGAAATGAGCAGTACTCCGAGTATATACAGCACTTGCTAAATAATGAGGGCAAGGAAATTTTCCGCATTATGAATATCCTGGATGGGGAAAAAAATTCAGGCAATTTGTGTGTAGGAGAACACCCCGAACTTTCCAATTTGCACAAAAAGGATGTCATAAAAAACGTTGACTATTTGTCTAACATAATTGTGACCAATCCCTGGCTCATGTCGCCTTCCAATACATTTGGCAGCGCAAGGTGACAGGTGCCACCCGTGAGATTCAGTATCTCCATTTTTACCTTCCTAAACGGGTGGGTGTTCGCGGAGGATAAAAATTCACCTGCACGGTTGGAAAAGAAAACAAAAAAAAAAAAATTCTTCACATTTTTTTTGCAAAAGGCCAGTGGCAATTGCGAGGAGGCGCCTTTTCAACGTTTCTGCCCGAGGTCCTGCCTTTCTTTTTTTCCTTTTTTTTGTCTGCCCCCTTGTGTTTGCACCTGCGCAGTTGCAGTTTTGTTTCCATTCGCTTCTCTTCCCATTAGCACGTGTGTGCTTCTTTTATTTTTTTTCCGTCTTCTTTCCCCCGTAAGGGAATACCTTGACCAACTTGTGCCATATACCCAGGAGGCATAAATTGCGCTCTGCTCTTAAAAAGGGTGAAAATTTTCAAATGCAATTCTTTTACATTTCGGGGCATTTCCCCATGAGGGTTAAACAGTGAGCCATATTCTCCTTTTTTAAGTTTCCCTGTTAAATTGTTCCTTACGCAAAGGTGGTGCATTTTTTTTTTTATGCAAAAATGTGCACACATAAAAGGGGAAAGAAGCTCGGCTAATTCTGGCTCGAAATGCGATTCGCCTAAGCATTTTAAGATATTCCTTTTTTTCCACTCAGTAGTGCAATTTTTTTGGACGCATCGTATATTGCTAATTGGCTACCCCTTGGCATGCTCGTAAAGTTACTGCAGAAGTGGGGAGCTCAGAAAGAGGCATAGGGCCCGACATTAGACGGCTGCCAGTGGCACGCAGCAAAATCGTAGAAAAAGTGGAGTTACTTTTTTTTTCTTCCATCCTCGTGATGATAGGCGAGCTTCTTCTAAACGCCTCGAGATGGCAAGTCGAGCAGCAGCTTCCAGAATATAAGACGTTGCCACAATTTGATGGCGGAAAATAGGCACCTTTCCCCATCGAGAACCAGCCAGAATAAAAAAAAAAATAAATAAAGAAGCCAGGGAATTGTCCCAATGTAAGTGTGCACAAGTAGAGGCGGAGTTGATGCCACTGGGTGAGTACTAAATTGATTTATCCCTTTTTAGGAAGAATGCCACTCTTGGTGAGTGGGAAGTGCGCCTACATATCATAGCGTTTTACGCGGTGCTGCAAAAGTTGTGACTCTAGTCTTGCTTCGGGGATCGTCCTCCTGTGAGGCGGCGCCAGAATAGTGTGCAAGTGTTTACTAGTGCTCTTCTTTCCCCTAGTAGATATTCCAACTGGGGGATGTCCGTCCATAGATGATAAAATGGGACCAGCTGGAAAGGCACATGAAATAGTAGGCCAGAAAGCTGATAGGCCAAGAAGCTGATAGGAAAGAAAACTGCGAAGCAGCCAAACTAAGAGACACCCAAACTCAGAGGCAAATATCCCCGACGCGAGCTCCAAAATGGAAAGGAAGGGAAAAAAAATTTTCAACGAAGGAAACCTGAAATTTTTAAAAGTATACTCCGACGTTCTGTTTAAATACGTGGAGGAGGAAAAGGACAAAAAGTCGACAGAGGTGCTGCTACTGTCAGAAAAAATAGAGAGCGAAAAGAAATTAATAAAGATAAACATAGACATCGTTTTAATTATCCTATTCTTTATCCTGCTTTATACATCCAACGATTTGGTAAACATAAAAAACTTGCAAAATCACATTTATAACAACATAAACGAGTCCAAGACATACTCTGAAAATTTTTACAAATCTATAAGTGACGAGATAAAGAAGGTGAACAGGGATTTCTCCTACGAACCAAGAAAGAAAGATTACATAGTATTTAAAAATTTGCGATCCAAATTTGATCTCTCCTCATGGATAAAAAATGCATTAACGGAAAGGATATCCCAAGACAACTTCCTAAATAGTAACATCTTATTTGGAAAATGCTGGAGAGTAACAATGAGATTATACAAGAAGGATAATTCTATGATGGAAAATATTTATATGTACAGGAAATTATTTGGAGTTTACCCGGATAGTTCATTTTCACATGAGTTGGAAAATTCTCGAAATGTTAATTCTTCCTATTTTGACACAAAGTGGAACTATTTATTTTCGTATGATAAGTCCTATAAAAAAATTGGAGGATTATATCAAGTAATATGTGAAAAACATTTTAGCAAAATCCAAGAACGTCTCTCTCAGGGTACTTCCTATGCCACTGATTACCCTTATTTTATACCAGCTCTTATATTAACTAATTATAACATATCCTCTGTTGCGATCGATTTTTTACTCTTCAATCCGTTACTCAATGTAATTTCCTACAACGTTTTAATGTTTTCCTTTTTGCCCAATGCGAAAACGTACAAAGAGGTTGTAACGCAGTCTGCTTCGTATAATCCGTTTGATGTATACTTCGTTGTTGCCTTGTCTGTCTTTATGGTGACATTCATTTGGTATGTTATTACCCATCATCGGAAACTCGCCATGGTTGGCTTCCGGCTTTACGTGAAGTCCTACTATACTTCGTTTCTCCTTATTGGTAAGTGGACACCTATTGTGTGTGACCCTCCGTCTGGGGGAGCGGCTGGCGTGCATGCATGTGGGGGTAACTCCATTGCCTAGGCGTTCCCTCCGTGTCCTCAGTGTGGGGCGGTCCACTTCTCAATCTAGGCAGTGTTTCTATTTTTCCCTCTTTTTTCTCAACTTTAGTAGTTGCCATTTTTTCCCTCCTTCTTCCCCCCCCTCAGCTTGCTTCGCGGCGAACCTCGTAACCCTCGGTCTCTTCCTTCTGTCCCGGAACCAGCTCCCCAAATTCTCCGTATGGTATGAAAATGGAAAGTACATAGTCGACTCCCTGCTCTACCAAGGCAGCGAAGATGGAATTATCGAACTCTTGCAGGACATGAGCATAACCCTCTCACGCGTAGAGTTAACTAAGAATATTTTCGTCTGGAACACCATCATAACCTTCGAGGTGTGCTTTTTCGTTTGCGTAAAGCGATATGGCCTGTTGATAAAAAAATACAGCAATGTAGAGAATAACATAAGGAGGGATTTTTTACATCCCTTTTTTATCATCCTTTGCATCATATTTGGATGCTTGGTAATTTTTTCCGTCTTCAGTTACACCCTCTTTCACATTGAAGAAAATGTCAGCTCCAGTATTGTCCAGACATTCATTTTCAATGTGTGTATTATATTTGCAAATTTTCAAGGAGTGAACATATCCTCTATCCTAGATGAAGAAAACATTTTGTCTTATTTATATTCCATTCCTACTCACTTTTTTATCGTCACGGTGAGTTTTGCTTTTATCTTTTATCTGGCCATTAAATCCTTCATCAAAAGGAACAAAAAAGTGTACAACTCGTTTATGCATCACTACGGCTATAAATTATCAAAGGGTAGAACTAGCGACAAGGGGGATCCCCACAGCAGAAGCGGTCATTTGAATTCTCCGGAAACGTATGGTATTTCCCTCCAAAAAAATAATGCACAGAAGGAGCATTCAAATGGAGAATCCCTAAATGACAACAGCACAATGGAAATAATCCCATATTCGGAGGTAGAAGATGAGCTGGACGAAGAGGGGAACCACAACACAGAGGAAACACGCGACTCAATTGAGCGCCTAAACGATGATGTGAAAGAACGTGACAAACAAGCTTTAAGCAGTGATGACAGCAGCACATACTCGACGCACGAATCGAATGAATACGAAGTGGACGCAGGCAAATATGACACCAATAAGGAGTTAAATTACAATGACGTGTTGAGCATAACGAAAGGGTTAAGTAAGGATAAAGAAGAGTGCACGGAGAAGAGGACCACAAAGAAAAAGGCCTTTTTTACTATAGAAAAAATGCTAGACCTATTTCTGAACCTAAAAAACAGCACCGTGTTGCCCTTCTCTACTAGGGAAAAAAAACGCATTTCGGAGGAATACAATACGAATAAAAAGAGGAGTGATGGAGTTGTGGTTTCCCTCTCTGTGTACACCTCCTTACTGATATTCATCATACTCTTTCTTATTAATGACTACAAAAAGAGGAGAGAAAGCGAAAAACTGTTGCATTATCAAATAGAAAATATTGGCTACTACCCATCTAATGCGCACTTCTCCAATATGACATTTCGTTATTTAAAAAAAAGAGTGAATGTAAATGTTAGGGAAACGTTTAACTTCCAAAAGGTAGAGAATAAGACCGACCTAATTCTGTGGTTAAAAACTTGTTTCGTTTCATTTCTGGACAACACTTCACACACCCTGGAGGGAGATCCCAATCATTACAGTAGTACCTTCCGATGGAAAGACATATTTACCATGAAGCATGAAAGGGTAAGAATAAACATTATTTCAAGAGAGACAATACAATCATCCAGCAGTAGTCTCATATGCAACTATAAGTGGCAGAACTGCTATGTGGACATACGGAATGAATTGCAATCTCTGAAGAGCCAGTTAAACGAAATAACATTACTAATTAATGATGCAACTGAGAAAGTGGAAATATCTTTTATTTTGTTTGACAAGAATGACTACCATAACCTTTTGGTGAATTTACATTTTGTCTTCAATCCTAGTGGGTATATATCCAAAAAGATATATTTTGAACACTTATTTTTTAATTCCTTCAACATTTTTCATTTCAGAGGGGCAGTAATTAATATGCTCTTCCTGATCATTCTGTTTTGGTCCTTTATAAGCATGTACTTGTATCTATTCAAGAATTTTTCCTACTTTTACAACGCATGTGTTGCGGTCCTTGTGCGGCATCATGACAGGGCTAATGCGCAGAGGGGGGAATGGAACAGGGGTAGCTGGCAGGAGGGCCAGCTCAATTCTCATCCAGGTGAACATTTAGGGACTTTTGATAATGCGAATGATTACATCTATGGGAGTTACTCGCCTAGGGGATATAACGTCGGTGGTTATGAGGGGGCGCGAAACTGGAACACATATGCGAATTACCCTGCCGCAGCGTATGCGAATTGGGGGACATACGGGAATAACCCTCCCGAGGGAAAAGCGAATTACGGATACTACGATACGGTTAACATGCCGGAGGGCGCCCTTAACGACGGTTTGGGCCAAGGCCACGTGAATCACCCCCCGAATAGGAACAGCGGCAAGACACACAAAATCGGCGCATTGCTAAAATTCAAAGTTTACCTGACGTACCTCTTCGAATCGAATCTTTTAAATTTACTAATTCTTCTATCATCCTTTTCCATAATCGCCTTGTGGCTTACTGTGTGCATATACATTAACAAGATAGAGTATAATGAAGATAAGTCGGGGAGCTATTTTAATGAATACATAAAATTGTTTTCCTTATTCTCCAAATTTGTGAATATCTTTTACTTGTTCCTTTTTTTAGTCATAATAAATATGTTTATTTTTTCTTCAAATTATGTAAAGCGTGAGAAGTTGTACGAAGCCTTATATGTTAACAGAAGGCAGATTTTGAAGTGTGGTTTTATGCTGCTACTTGTGTACCTGAATTTTTTTCTTTTTCACTATTTTTTTTATGGAATAGACGGTTTCAACGACTTGTCAACGAGTCAAAAGCCCATATACTCCATTTTAATTTTGTTGGGTCTTGTTAACGTTGATGTTTATCTGAAATGCAAAGTTTTCTATTTTCTCTTTTTCGTGTTGCCTCATTTGGTGTTTATACGCTTTGTTTTAATGTATTGCTTTTTGGCTCCCGTTATGGCTAGCTATTTAATTTTACTAAAAGAAGGCGGGGGAAAAAAAAAAAAAAAAAAAAAAATAGCTAGCCAGAAAAAAGAAGATTATTCCTCTTTTACGTTGACTCATCTGAGCAACGAGCAGTGGAAGTACTTAAATGAAGACATAAAAGAATTTTCGGCAAACGAAACTAATAACATACTGCATTATTTTGAAAATGTTAGAGACCAGATAAGGAGTAAGGAAGACATATCCAAAACGTTGCAAAACGCGTGTAATGATTTAAAGGAACAGGTGGACGAGATGCAGCTGGATTTGCGCAAAATAGAATTGAAGTGGAAGTTCCGCAGTAAACTCTTGAGTTCATCAAAGGCCTACCTGGACAAAATAAACAACCAGATAAGTATGTGCGAGGATATGATTGTGGAGGATAAGAACAGGATTTCTTCGCTCAAGCAATACGCGAAGCAGGTGAAGTTGGACGAATAGCCGCGGAACTGAAACCGGCTTCGCTATTAATGCCAAATTCACCATTAGTAGTGGCGATCTCCACAGTGAGCACTTCCCCAAGGTGCATCCCTTTAATGCCTCATTTTAGTGATCGACGTGGAGGAAAACTTGCACGGGGCGCGGATTTGCGCACAGGTGAACGGCATTAATGGTGTTCATGGGCCTTAGGCGAGCCTCGTCGATTTTAATTTTAACTGTGTGTAAATGAAGACCCAGTTGGGGGGCCGCAAGGCAACCCTGCTGGGGTAAAAAGGCATAGGCAGAAATGAAACTCAGGGGGGTACACAAATGAAACTCAAAGGAATGCCCAAATGGTTACCCAAGTGAAACCAAAGGGAACTTACTTTCTCGTTATACTGAATGAATAGAAAAAAGGATTCACGGAAGGCGAGCATGCGACAGAAATGTAGATGACAGGTTAGTGCATCGTTCGAAGCGTGACACTTTTGTATTATTCTGAGAACTGCGCCGCATGTGCAAGGGATGCATAATTATATATGATGGCTGATACGCCCTATTTTGCGCTACACATCTGCCCAATTATGCATGCACTTGGGTATATGAATATGCGTAATATACCTCTTCACGTATATGTACAGTGGTGCAGGCATTTCTTCCTATTTGTACGTGACCGCACAATTCGTGCGAATGTATTTTTTCGTGCTCCACCTTTTTGAAACAGCTCACATCCGTATGAGGGACCGTTTGGAAGCGCAGCGCGCCCAAGGACGCAATCTGCAAAGGTAAATGTACACATATGTATATCTCATTTCGCATGTACATGTGAGCGGATTGTACGTCGTTTTAGAAAAGTTCGAGTGTAGAAGTCGGAATAGCGGCGTGCGCGTGGTAGTTGCGGGAAAAAAAGAGTAAGTTCTGTTGCAATTACTTCGCCCCCCAGGTTAGCTAACCGCTTTTGCAATGATAGCAGGGAAAAGTGAAGCGCGAAATGGTTGCGTACGAACGTATATGTGCGTATTCGTATATATGTACATGTGATTGAATGCCCAACTGCCGCCATGTAACTATACTTAACAAACATGAATTTTTATGGAAAATTACCTAACTACTGCATTTTTTTTGTTGTTAAAAAGCGTTTTATCCAATTCGAATCGTTTTAGAAAGGGCCCCCCCGGGAGGTACTTACTTTTTTTCGTTTGGCTCAACATTTTAGTCGCAACAAAATGGGTAACACGGGGGAAGCGCCACTCTAATTGGAACTTCATCAGAAGGGCAACCGCCCCAATGAGAACAAAATTTGTGCTAAAGAGTGGCAGAAAAGGGAGGGTTGACAATATATCGTCGGTAAAAAAACAGCATGCAAAGAGCAGTGATAAAAGGAAGAACATTGTGTTAATCCACAGGGGCGTCAATAGAGACGAAAACAGAATAAGCTATACAAGAAATAATTTACAAAGTAATAGCAGCATCCAGGAAATAAAACACCTGAGTAACCTCCAAAAGAATGTCATCTATCTGCTAGAACGGAACAACAACATACTAGTACATGCCAAAACGTCGAGCGGAAAAACAACCATCTGCCTACTTTACCTCATTTTGAAGTTCTATTATAACTCTGAATTTGTCTTCGAGGAAGATCTAGAAAGGGAAAAGTACTTAAGCAGTGATGAATACCTAAATAGTTACAAGAAAATGCTTCTTCTAAATCAAAAGCGGAACAAGGTGAACAGGAATAAACTCAAGTACACCCCGTTTAGTGAAAAGTATGCTCAAATATATGACATCCGGCAGGACACCGATTTGTTGATGGAGGAAAGGGCCAGAAATGTTCTAAAAAAAGAGGAAAAAATTCTTATTTTATGCCCGTCTAAGGAGCTTTGTGTTCAAATTTCGCAGAATGTTTTGTCTATGATGAGTTGCAAGGACGACGGGGCAATTCGCCTCTTCATCGATAAGGATGAAATAGAGGATGCTAATTTGTCCAAGTGTGTTTCAGCTCCGAGCTTATCAAACGATGTAGAAAAAGAAAAAAATGATGAAGAAGCGGAAGGAATAAGTGCAGACATGGAGGAAGTCCCCACATTACCAAAACGTAGAAGCACGAATGACTCATCCAGAGCAGCTACCAATTTAAACGACCCCCTTTTCCTAATAGGAACGCCTATTTGTTTTAAAAACTTCCTTTTAAGCTTATCAAAGGAGGAATTGAAAGCCTTTTTGCAAAGCATAAAGTATGTATTCCTTGACGAAATAGATAGGATGTTTCCCACCATAAAAACGAGAAAATCACGGGGAATGAAAAACAGCACAAAGAAAAAAACGGCCTATTTTATCCTAGAAACGATTATGTATATGAATAAGAAGAACCTCGTTTTTGTGGGCTGTTCTAGTACCCTAAATAGGGAACTGCACAGGAGAATATTCAAGCTCTTGAGCTTGAACAGAAATAACGCCAAGAAGAAAATTTACCTGCTGCGGGAGAGTAACAGCGCTTCGAATGAAGGTACTCGTGGTGGAGTTGGCAACCCTGTGGGTTCGATACATCCGGATAGTCCTTACTGGGGGAACTCCTTTGATGAGCATCCAACAAGTGATCCAAACCAAGGGCGAGGGGATCCCTCTGGGGGTGAAAGAAGTGTGGCCACTTCTTACCAAGAAAAGGAAGACACCCACGTTGATGCTTACACGGACGAGGATGAACGGGCATGTCTATTCTCCCGGAATGGTGAGGATATCCCCCTGCAAAAGTACATAATCAAAGTGAGGATCTCGAACAAGATACGCCACCTCTACAGCGTAGTGAAGGACCAGCTGTACAGCAGCAGGATGGAAGAGGCATACAAAATCGTAAAACATTTTAAAAATAGAAAAGTGCTAATTTTGGTTAAGAATGGATGCTCCCTACTACACATGAAGCGGTACCTATCCCAAAGGAACATCTTTTCTGTGCTTCTACATGAAGAATTGCAAATATCGCTCACAGGAAATAACAACCACCTGAACAGAATGTGCCAAAAGTATGCCCATATAAAAGATTTAAAGGAGACAGTTCTACAAAATGAGGAAGAGACAGAGAAGGAATATATAAATAAGTACCCCGTTATTATAAGCTCCTTTGATAGCATTCGAGGTTTTCACATTAATAACTTAGAACTCGTTTTGTTGTGCAGTAGGCCCAAAAATGTAAATGAGTATATTCACCTGAGCGGCAGGGTTGGAAGGAGGAACAACGTCGGTTATTCCATTCTGCTGGAAGATGAAAGGAATGTCAACATTGTAACAAATTGGTTAAGGAACATACAGGTGCGTTTTTTCAAATTGGCACTGAATGGGGGTACCTCCACCGACGCGGCGAGCACTGATCGATCGGAAGAAGCTGAGAAGAGTGAGCAAAATGGGCCAACGCCCGACACGGATCGCGCAGAAGACAATTTAAACTACATCACATCGTGCATAATGGATGAACTCAATGAGGACATTCCGTGAAAGGTATTTATTTCAAACAGGGGGAAATGCATGTCTATTTTTTTTTTTTTTGTAACGTCTCATTTGTTCCCTTTTTTTTTGTTATATAAAATTATGAAATTATAGAGTTATGAAATTGTAAAATTGTAGAGTTATAAAATTTTAAAATTATAAAATCGTTTAGGGGAAACACACGCCAGTCATCAATCAGCGCATTGCTCAAATTGCCCTTTGGTGCAAAGAAGTTTTAAAAAAAAACGAATAAATGGTTTTGACGGGAGGACGATAAGGAGGTATCCATTTGGGAAGGGGCGTACATATAGAGTTCCCCCGTTTGAATACAATGGCCAAACGGAATTTCAAAAAGAAGGGGTGTGCTCGCAACAACGTGTCAAATTAAGAAGTTCACATGATTGGAAAAACTAAATTAAAAATAAGACGATATGACAGACTTTATTTGGTCAATTTTCTGCTCAACCTTTTCGATAAATGTCTTTCCCTGATAATTTTTTTTTATAACTTTTACAACGTCGATTTCGTAAAGGAGCGGCTATTGGAAGGGCGGAAGGGGAAAGAGAAATTACTAAATTGAGGTTTTGGATAGCGGGGGTAGATAATTACGCAGTTAAGGAAAATAGGCACTATTTTTTTATATCCCCTTTTTTTATTTTTTTCTGCCAAGGTGGCCGGCATTACCTGGCTGGGAAAATGGTTGGGGTACGCCAAATGTGGGGGGACGATGCACTGCCGTCTTGTGTGCTTCTTCATGCCAATGACAATCTCGTAGATGGCCCTTATGTGCTTTTGATCGTATTGCCCAGCTTTGATCTTTGGTGGAATTAAGCTATTAAAAGTTGAATGAATTATTCGAAAGTCGTTCGTCGTTTTTCCCTGGTAGTGAATATACACGATATCGCCCTCTTCAATGGGGTCCCCTTCTCCATCTATGAGGTCCTTATAGAGAATTCCGCTTGGTGAAAGAAAGGGGGTAGCGTTTGGCGTGCGTGCACACTCGCATGCAGGGGTGTAGTTCCGCCTTCACGCAGTTATTCCCTCACCCAGTTATGCTTTGGTTTATTCCCCCCTCCTGCCGTACCTTTCCGTTTTAACATAGGGTTTATCCGATTTGTACTTTTTTTCCAAGTAGGCGTCTGCCCCTTTCCCCTCTAAATGAAAAACGACCGACGTACTGGAAAATAAATATTTTTTTACGAAATAGGAATTTAGCGAAATAAAAAAGAGGTGAATGAGAAATTGTTTTTTCTCTGTAAAATGGCAACTTCGGAAAGAGAGTTTTCCCCGGTCGTAGTACTTAAAAAAGGTACCCCTTCTGGCGAAACTTCTCATTTTTACACGCTTCGGGGAAAGTTTAACCAATCTGGCCAAGTCAACCGCTTTTTTTTTTCTCTGCAAAATCACATATGTTGGGCTCCTTTACATTTTTTTAAGCATCAATATGTTGGTGGGTTGTGAAGTCACACGGGATTGGCATGAACTTTTTTGTAAAGGTGTAAACAAATGGAAGCCATGGAAGGAACAAATATGTATAGGCTGCATAGGCGCAGTTGTGCGCGGGGGAGAAACAGGGAAAACGCAGGAATTATAGATATATATCAAGTCATACAGGCGCACGTGCATATCATGAGCCGTGGAGTGCCCAATGTCACGAACACTTAAACGAGAGGATTGACAAACATACGAAAGAAAAGGTGCATGCGTAATGTGCGCCTCGTAATGTTGCGCGAAAGGGACTAGCCAAATGGTCCCCGTGGGGGAGGCATTTCCTAAATTTTGAAATCGTCAAGTGGGGGTACTTCGGAAATTTGGAGCTTCAAAAATGAACGAATTAAATTTTCTTCGCTCGAAATGACGCAAAAAGAAAAAAAAAAAAAAAAAAAAAACACTCACGCACAGACACACGCTCCTACTAGTACAGCAGATCGACTCCGTTGATGCTATTAAAAAAGGATGAAGCGTCCATAATTTTCTTGTTTTTCCGCTGCAATTTGTAAATTTTCAGCTGGCTATTGTCCTTGCAGAGAATGTTTATGGCCCCTCTATTAAAAATTGCCATTTTGCGCGGGATGCCGTCGAAGCACTTGTGGCTCTGAAGAGTGTCAGCGTCTTTAAATTGGTGGCGATCCTGGCGGCTGCTATGGTCGCCCGAGTCGTGGGACGTTTTAATTAATTTCACCTCCATGGCCATGAGGCCACCCTTGTGGACGAAGAAAAAGGTACATTCCACCTTGGGCCAGTTTATAAACGCCCTCACTTTATTATGAATGTGCAGGGCGGTTGAACAAAAAAAACAAACATACCTTTCTTCACTTTTTATTTTCGGTGCGTAGCTATTATTTTTATGGGTCGAAGGGACCATGAGATAATTTCTCAGCCAAGCTTGATTCATTATATCCTGCCCAATGTTTGTATGCAGCATGGACTGATTCATTTTTACGTTACGTGGGGTGATATATTTTTCCTCATCATATAGCAAATGGCTAACGTCTAAGTGATCGTAATTATTATGTGTAGAGATCGTGGAAGGGGTGGGAGACTCCCCTATGGATTGTAACTCCCCGTTCGTGCTATCCACTTTGTAATTGGCGAGGAAGAAAATATGGGTCATCAAATGCAATGACCCCATGGTGAACAATATCGTAATTATGTCGTTAAAATTGAAATCTTGATCAAATGTAAGCCCACTTCTTATCAAAGGAGGGCCCGCATCGATGCGCAAATTGGTGAGAAATATAGAGTACCCAAAAATCGATTCATTATTTAATAAACTTCTCTGAATGGGGGATGCACCCCGGTAGAGTGGCAATAAGCTTGGGTGCAAGGTGTAGACATTGGCACCAATGTTCTGAAAAAAGGAAGCATTAAATATTTCTCCGAACGATGCAGAAATGCACAAATCGAAGGTTTTATTTTTTAGCAAATATGTGTCATTCCTTATTTTATCGTAATAAAAAATTTTTATTCTCTCTTTCTCTGCTTCCTCCTCGATGTGCGATTTTTTGAACTTTAAATGTCTTCCCTTTTTTCTAGGGCTCTTGGTAATAACATGATCTAACACTAGATCATTTCTTACGTACTTTATTATTAACGTGATCACTTTAAGGCATAACAAACTGAACTCGTTGCTCCCTATGAATAAAATGCGAAGTTTTGTCCTGCCCTTTTCTTGGCTCTCATCACTCTGTGTATTTCTCCTATTTTTTAGTGCATAAATTTGGTGCAGCATGTCCATAATGGTCTTTTTCCTTTTGCGCAACTCTTCCTTAACGTCTACATAAAATATTTTACTCCTGAGTGTACTTTGCACGGTTCGAATGATTTCTAGGTAGACGTTATGTAGGTGTAAATTCACCGCTTCGTTTTGAAACACGTTATGGAGGAGAATATTATGGAGGAGAATATTATGGAGGGGGATATTATGGAAGAGGATATTTGTTCCCTGACACAATGGTGTGCGCCTCTTATGGCTGCCTCCCTCACTAGGGAAGGGCTGATACTCCGCATTGTCATTTTTAAAGAATGAATATTTGTTCACGAATCGGTTGGGCCCAATTAACGGATTTGTAACATGGTCGGGGGGATTTTCCCCAGCCGGATGATAACCGTGCCAGGGGGGGTTGATAGGCAGTGTACATGACAGATTGCATGAGAGATTACATGACAAATTGCATGATACCTTTTGGGTTTCTTTAGAGCAACGTCTTCCCCCGTCGAATTGTTCGTTCTCGCCCCAACTGGACGATAACCCACCGGTGCCATTCAACTTTGTGAGATTTAATTTATCCCGATTTCTTCCTTTCGTTTCACTCGTTTTTACATCTTTCGCACTAATTTGATGCACACTTTGGGGAAAATTTTGAGGAGGCTGTCCTTTTTTTCCAACATGTAATCTGTTAATGTAGCACAATTTGGACGTACAGATCTTTAGAAATATTACGAAAAATATTGGTACAACATGGCAACTGGTTATATTCATATTAGGGGACACGCGTGTGTGCGGAGTGATGTCGTGGCATGCATTTTTTTTTTTTTTTTCCTTTGGAAGTTGCTCAGGGGAAGTGGTGTGTGCAATGGTGGGAATACATTGTTGAAACGTTTTTTTCTTTACATTTTTTGTTTCTTTTCTGCGAATATTGTATGGACAGTTGGTAATGGCTACACTCACTTTCCCTTTGTGCAGGAGCTAGGCGACAGCCTAGTTCTCTCCCTCATAGTATAGTACACTTTCCCGCAACGGTATCGGCGAAGGGTGAAGTTTAAATTTATACTTTTTTCCCTTCTTTTTTTGGGGGAGGAGGGGGAGTGGGCTAAATTCGCAGCAAGGATGTAAGAAGTTTTCCCTCCTCCAGCTTTGTCATGTTTGCTTTTTGGCACGAAAGGAAGCGAAGCAGTGTGGAGTTGGAATAAAATAAAAACATTGCGTGTGCCACAAAATAGGCTTCGCAAAGGAAGGAGGTTTGCAGAATACCACAGAGGGGAAGATGCTGCCTGGCCTTTTAACAGGAAAAATTGCTCCGCGTGAAGGTGGCACAACAGAAGGGCTAAGAAAGTAGAGTTCAATTTTGAACGAACTGCGGCGCTCGTGGAATAGTGTAAAATGGATGAATGACATTAAAGAAAAAAAAAAAAGTGGGCAAATTGGTCGGGGCAGAAGAAACGGGCACAGATGGGACTTCCCAGAAAAATGGCGAAAGGTGAACACAAAAAAGGGCGAAAAAATTAACACAACATAATGACAACTGGATAAGAAGCACAAAGGATATAAAATATAAGGGGGGGGTGATGGTATGCCCATCCTTGGGTGAACCACGCACGAGTGTACTCTGCACCCATTTTGGAGAAAACAACTTGCAGTGCGCACCGATCTGGATATTCTTCTACGACGAAGCAGGTGCCCTTACCCATTGGTGTAAAACAATGTGGAAGGAACTATAAATCTCTCCACGTCATATTTCCTGTAAAAAAAAAAAAGAGGGGAATTTATGTGGGAAGTGAGAATCGGGGAGCTAGCCAAAGTGAGCAGCTCGAGTGCATGGGGGGAAATGAGCCACAACGTATGCCCCTCAAAGCATCATTCTCTCTGCACAATTGGTCGTGCACGACGGGCAGAGGGAGTGAAAAAAAAGTGAATCAGTTGCCACGTACTGGTTGAAAAAACAACTTTTTGTCTTATGCACACAAAATGGCAAACGCTAATCATACAAAGTGACAACAACGGAAATAGGAAGAACAGCAACAAGAACAGCAACAACAAAAAGAAAAAAAAAAAAAAAAAAAAGTCGTACTTCTTATTTTTGTCGTCGAGGATGCTGAAGTTTAGGATGGCAAAGTGTGAATTGTATATAGCAGGGGGCACATCGTTGGAGGACTGGTTCATGCTGGACAAGCGTTTTGAATAATTTTTTATCTGCTTATAGGAGAAATTTTTTCCTGTTTCTATTTTATCCCCCAAACGGTCATCCTTATATGTATTGAAATGGTCCATGGAGGAGTGAACACTGCTGCCATCTCTTGAGCAATTTCTCACCCCCTTTTTTTCTTCCCCCTGAGAAGTTAGCATATTGTCCAAACTGCTAATTAACTCAATTTCGAGACATTTTCTGAAAAATTTCGACTTGGATAGAGACAACTTTTTTCGCATTTTTCTCTTCTTAATGGCAATAATTTTGAGCTTATATTCGGTCATATTTTTTTCCAAGGAGTATCTAACATTGTCCTTGGAAGTAAAGTTGGCACGGATCAAAGGACTCTGATAATATATATTAATTTTTAGACGTTTGGAAAGAAAAGACTTTTTATTAATTATGCTTATTCTGAAGAAGAACAGATCGTTTAGGAGATTTTTTTTGAGGACATTTCCGCAGTTGTTACAAAGTATTTTTTTCTTCTTGTGAATGCACATAATTTCGTTTTCCGTCGATTCGCTATGACGGCTGTCCCTGTTCTCGCTACTGGACAAGTTGGACAGGTTGGACAAGTTGGACGCGTTGCTCGAGTTGGATGCGATGGACATACCGAGCATGGAACACTTTTCCGAGCTAGACATGTCATCCTTCTTTATGTGGAAGATTTCATTGTACAGCTTGGTATGAATCAGCATGCTGTCGTTGACGTAATTGCTGGCCTTTGCGCAGCCCTCGGTGAGCAGGCAGAAATTCGCCGACTTATTTTCGAAGAGGCAGTGCAGATTGAGGAGGCCCACCTTTTGCGCCCCGCCCCCGAGCACGTTATGTGGGTTCGCAGCTGAGTTGCCACAAAAGGTGGCATCCAAGTTGCCACCCAAGTGGTCAGCCCTGTCCCGCTCGTTGCGGATCTGGCTGAGCAAACCGTTTAGAAAGTGTTCACTTTTATCTGTCAAATGCGCTTCATCTTGCTGTGCTACGCGGTTTTGTCCAACGTTGTCGTACAGATCATGCTCTTTTACACACTTTTCGAGTCGACTTAATTCCAAGTGGAGGTTCTCCGATAGGTTGCAGTGGCCCACTATTTGGGGTGCAAAATACTCGCATCGTTTGGCGTGCTCCACGTTGTTTGAAGGTGGGTCTCCTTCCCCTTTTTCCAACGTCGGAGAGGCAGTTTCAACTTTATCCAATCTGTTCATAGCATCGGCGCTCTCTCTTTGGTTTGAATGCGTCTCCAAATTTTTGTAGTCATGCTTGTAAAATAAGCTGCTATGTTTTAGTAATACCTCCTTTGGGGCTTCCCCCCTTTCCTTCCTTCCTTTAGAACCGGCAGCGGTGCCCTTTTGGACACTTTCACTCTCCAAATGGGGAATAGATTTACGAACCGATTGCAACACATTTTCCAATATCGAAATTTTATTCACTTCTGTGTCATCATTTATGCTTCCATTGGATTCACTTGATGATGACCCTTTTGTGGAGTTGTTCTTCTCATGCATTGTTACGCTATTAACAATTTCGTAGGAGCTCTCACACGTTCTTTTCGTTTGCATGTTTCTTTTATCGTGGGAGCTGTAGCTTAGATGCAGTGATGAACATTTATTCGGGGGGTATTTATCTGCGAGGAGGGTTGAAGTGGAGCTGTTGCAGGGTTCAAATGGGGCAATATATGCATCATTGTGGAGTTGTTCATTCTGTAGGTTCCCCTTTTTTTTGTCTATTTCGTTTGGGAGGATTTTACTATTCGTATTTAGGCCACCCCCTTCGATCTTCTCTGTGCTTATGTTAATTTGGAGGAGGGGGTCACTACACATATCATCATGCAGGATGAAGAAATCATCGGCGTGACCCACTTCGTTCGTTAAGGTTAACCTATTTTTTTGAAACCCATTTGGATCATCACGCAGAGAAATCACATCTATGTTGGATTTCTCTTGAGAAGCATTCAAATTTAAAAATGAAAAAATGGATTGTTCTACCAAGTTGTGAGAACCGTTAGAAGGAACCTCTTCAAGGGAGAAATGGAATTCGTTGGTGATATTTTCTGGAGAAGAGTTGATATATTCCTTTATTGTTTCACCTTGTCTCTGTTGATCCATTGCACTGATGAAGGTACCTTTCCCTATGTTGACGTCATAACTACATAAAGCATTTTCAATAAGAGTCAACAATTTTAATCTTAATATTTTACTTCGATTAAATCGAAATGGAATAAAATATTTTTCTTCTCTCTTAAGAGGAATGCCTTCTTCTATCTTCTTTGCCTCTTTTTGGTCTTTTTTTTTTTTTCCTTTTTTCTAGGTAGAGAATTATATTAAACTCATCATCGGTGTAGCTGGTGTTTCCAAACGAGTGTGTATCCGTCGGTTGGAAATTTTTATTTACTTTCCGCAATTCTTCTTCCATAATTTTGTTAAGTTCGTTGTTTTTTATTTCTCTCATTTTTTCCTTTTCACTTTCCGTTAGGGAGCTTGGCGATATGCAACTGGCATGGATTTGTTCTAATATTTTCCTGTTAATAACCTTCTCCTTTATAGACAGGATTCTTTGTGCCTCGTTAATAATGTTACTGAATTTGTTGATGACGATGCTGTGTTTATTTCTTAGGGAATGCTTTCTGTTGTGTTCTTTGATTGTGTTTGTTTTGTTTTTTTCGTCTTCTCCGTTTGTTTCGTTTTCTCCGTTTGTTTCGTTTTCTCCGTCTGTTTCGTTTTCTCCGTTTATTTCGTTCTCTACGTTTTTTTCGTCTTCTTTGATTTCTCCGTGTTTTTCCCTTTTTGACTTTTCTGCGTGGTGCGCGCGTTGGCTCTTTGGCGTCTTCATGTTTGTTGCTCTCTTCTGGTCGATAGCCAGTTCGCCATTCTTTTCACTTTTGCGGGGGGGTTCAAGGGGGCCTCTGAGGGAGGCGGTCTCCCCATTTAGATGGCTTCCCTCATTGAAAATCGCCCTGGGCACCTCTCCCTCATAGCAGTTGTAGTACTCGTCGCCGAAATACACCTCATTATCGTCACTGATTAGGTGTTCCTTCGGGTTGGGGCCATTTGCATTGGCGAAGTTATCCCGTCTGCTGCTAACGTCCTCTGGTTCGGGTCCCGTACCCTCGCTGAGGTGATTCTTCCCATTTGGGAGTAAAGCAGTCTTATCCAAGAGATTGTCCCCATTTTGTCCTTCCCTGACGTCTCCTCCTGGCCCACCTTGTCCCCTTCCTATGATCGCACCAGTGGACCTGTTCACAACTGGGGCAGATTTCTTCTTCTCTAATATCCTTGAGAACATCGATTTAATCTTTCTCAAGCTCATTTTTTCCTTCCCCCTTTTCGCGAAAAATAAGTTACCCTTTTTGTAGGTACCTCCCCCTACGGATACATCATCATGTTGCCTGAAGAGGTTCAGAGAAAACTGACTGGAGGGGTCATGGATATTTATATGCAGAGAATTATGTGCGTCTAAGAGGATGTAGCCAAATTGGGAGGACTTCCAAAGGAGGATGATGCTCGAATTTAAGTCGTTACACATGTTTTTAATTGACATGTTATTCTTCTGTTTGTTAATTTCCTTTGATAACTTTTTATTTTTTAAACCATTTCTGGGTTCCCCCTTTTCTGGAATAGTGGACAAGTCGGTAAGTACATCAATGGACGGGATTATCCCCGGTGTAGTGCACATGGGAACCGATTTGCTAGATGTCAAAGAATACAAATTTTTAATAGCATCCGTGTCGTCATATTGCAGAGATACAATGTTCGAATTAATGTAACAGGAGGTGTCGTTAGGGGGTTCACTAAAATTTAATGACCTCTTACAGCCGTTATCATTTATAAGTACGTTTAGAGAAGACCCCACAATTTGGTTCTTGAACTTGTTCAGAAATATTTTTCTTCTCAAAAAAAAGAAATTTATGATTAGGGTTATATTATTAGAGTACTTCTTAGCATTCGAATCGTTCAAAGCGAATATGAATTTTAACAGGGACACTTTGTTTTTCCTTCCTTTGGTGGACACATCTGATGGTACTTGTTCTGTCTGGCTATTTGGCGTGCAAAAAGATGCTTTCTCATTAATGCGCGGGTTATCAGTATTGTTTCTTCTTTTTCGATCTATTTGGCAACTTTCCATTGGAGTATTTATGCTTACATTTGGAGGTGTAATTTTACGTGATCCACTACTTCGGTCTTTATCTCTACGTATGAATTTTTTAAAACTAGCCATTTGGGGGATATTCTTTAACTTCTTGAAGTAATTTTTTCTGTTTTTTTTAATGAGAGCCGTACGTTCATTTTTGTCTTCTTTTCCATCGCTTATTTCTGCCATGTGGTTATCCCGTTTATCATTAACAAGTGGGTCATATTTCCATGTCTCTCTTTCCTTCACGTTGAACACAGAGCCACTTATTCTCTTTGCATTTGTAGGAAGGTTCCTAAACTGGAGAGTTTCCTCTTCCTTAAGTGTGCATGTGGTCATACCATCTTGTGCCATCTCTATGGTGTAGTTAGATTCATTCCTCTTCACAACATCTTCTATTGTCATAGCTTCTTTAGTTCTCTCCTCATCGCCTACCCCATTTGTGCAATTTTTTTCTTCCATTTCGCTGAATATATTTTTTCCGAGTGGACACCTTCCACTGAGGAATTTGTTACTCTGGAGGATAACATCGGTGCTGTTTTTAACCCCAATGCTGGTGGCTCCTCTAGCTTTAATAGGTATACTCTTTATTGGAGTTCCTGTGGAGTAGTCCCATCCACTCCTCCTCTTTCTGAAATCCTCCTTCCGCTTTTCACTTCCGTACTGGACTATGTCAGCCCGTATGATGTTAAACATGCAGATGTGCTTCAACACCATGGAAGGATTCCCTATTTGGTTTATCTTCCTAACAGAGTAGAAGATATTTTTCATAATTTTTCGGACAGTGTTGAAGATTAACCTACTTTTGGTGGGGATCAGAATTCTGGAGGTCGTTCTGCAGTGGGGGTGTGATTCGATCACACTGGAGTCTTCATCGAGGGGGGCGCTACTACCCTGTTGGTGACTTTGTGGAAACATCCCTTTTAAGGGTAAACCGCTTCGTGGCCAATTGGGGGGGAGCTCTTCCTCTCCTCCACCGTGGTGCCAATCTCCCGAACTCTGGAGTACGTACTTTTCTATGTGCACTTTTATGAAACAAACAAAGTGTACTAAAAATGTGTAGAAGGAGCTCCTCACTATGTTGGTAGTGGGATTGCATTTTCCTGTCTTCGCCGCCACGTCGTTTGCTTCGCTTTGGTTTGTATGGATTGCATGGGTTGCATGATTTGCATGGTTTGCATGCGTTGCATGTGCTGCATGGGTTGCATGTGTTGCATGCGAAGCATGAATTGCATGGATTGTAATTTTTCTTATCGTCGTGTCCTCTAAGGAGGGATTCCTTTTGGTTATCGGAGGGGAGGGGCTTAACTGCCCTGTTTTTGTGTTTCCCTCGCGGGGGCACAATTTGGTCTGTTTATAGGTGTCATGCAGTGGCTCCTCATTTGTAGACTCCTCTCTATTTTGCGGGGGCCCCCTATTTTGCAACTTCTCCTTAGTTAACCACTGTAGGGTGCTCCCCTCTTTCTTCCACTTGGAGGCCCGGATTTTCCCAAAAACGTTAAAGAAAAAGAAAAGGCAGTCCATAACTTTAGGCTCAGTGTATGGATGCCTGCACATGATGTTGTGGATGACTCGATTCATTTCCACAATTTTGGCACAAGAAATAGAGTTCAGAAATTTGGAATAATTTTTCACATTAATGCTACGTATAATGTCATTTGTTTTTTTTTTCAAAAGGTAACATGTTAATTTTTTTTTTTTTTTTTTCAGAGTGGGCATTTTTCTACTCTTCCTAAAAACTTTTCTCAATCGTAGTAATTTGCAAGTGATAAACATTTGTTCTATCTTGTTCATGCACGTTTTGTTCCTTGTTTTCTGGAGGACCATGTGGGAGATAAAGGTTGGCATATATTTCGTCATTTCTTCTCTTCGTTTTGGTCTTGCTCTTTGGAGAATCTCGATCATTTTTGTAAGCGGCAAATGTAGGATAAGCGCTGCGGCGGTTTCGCAGTCGACGAAGACGGAGTTGGCGATGTGTTCCACCTTGTCTTGGCACAGGAGACTGCATAATGAGGCATACTCGTCTTCGTTCAGCTGGTTAAGGAGGAGAACCAAATTGTGCTCATCGATCATGTTCACCAGTTCCCTGTGTGGATGAGCGGCATCCGCATGGGTGTAGCTATTAGGAGTGGCAGCGGTGGTGGGAGTGGTGGTATCAGTGATGGCAGCGTTCGTGACAGCGGTGGTGGGAGTGGTGGTATCAGTGATGGCAGCGTTCGTGCCATCGGTGGTGGTAGCGTTCGTGCCATCGGTGGTGGTAGCGTTGGTGCCATCGGTGGTAGTCACGTCCATAGTTGCTTCGCTGCGGTGGTGCCCCCGCTCGGCGGCCGGGCCTTGCCGTAAGACTATGTCTATTATGACCCTTTGCAGCGGAGTGGCGCGCAAAGCAAAGTTGAGCTTCCTCTGCGTGAGGGCGTGCAAGCAAGGAACGGCCTTCTCCTGGGGAAGAGACACGAACAACTCCACGAGTAATTTCAAAGATATATCATTAACAATTTGTGTCAAAAATTGAATAGGCAATTTTGCAGTGAGGAATTTAAACTCTTCCATTGAAATGTAATTAATGTAGAGAATAATTTTGGTTAAATTGCATCGGCTGAGTAAGGTCTCAGCATTGGCCTCATTTAGGTAATTCACAATTTCCATAATTTCCGGAGCATTGAAAGATCTTCCAATTTCGGAGGCAAACATGGGAGTCAATTCCTTCACGTTAATCGAATGTCCAATTTTGCAAGGGGGTAACATTTTCAACACCTTAACAGATTTGTATAAAGGCAATTCGTTTATCAGCCTGTTGAGAGTTTCTACAGAGAGGTTATTGGCTAGCTGATGTAATTTTTTAGACGGCAGCAAGTTGTGCATTACGTACAATTTTTCGTAAGTTATGTTGTCTGAGAAGAGACTTATTTTCTGCATAGGGAAACATTCTGCGATGTGATAGAACTTACACAAAGGTATTCCATTCAACAAATTGATGAGGATTTTTTCCTCTATATGGTTTAATATGTATGCTACCTTGTTTTTCGACAGGTTTAAGAGTACACTGATGGATGTATTTACAGACATGTGGTTAACAACTTCAATTATTTTTTTTTGGTTAAATGAGAGAATAAAATTTTTGTAATTATCTACATGAAGCAAGTTTATCATTTTTTTTATCTTCTCCAAAGACAGGAAATTGAAATATTTTACAATGTCGTAATTTTCGCTAAATGGAATGGTTAAATAGAGGAGTTTTTCTTCGCTTAGGTTTTCCATTACGGTGATAATATTTTTGGTTTCATCTTTCATCGACACGATGAGCTCTCTGAATTGAATTCGCGACGTTTGTTTTGCTGATAGTGGGTCTATTAGGTGATGTGGTACCTCTACATCCTTCTCTGCGCGATGCATTTCATGGTGTAGCGATTTGTTCGGGTGATTCTGTTTGCTGGTCCCGTTTCTGTTGACCTGATCTATTTCTCCTTTTTCTTCTCCTCCGCAGCAGTTCCTTTGGGGGTCACCCATGTGGGGCTCCAAAACGGTCCAATTTGCTTCCCTACACGCGTTTTTCTTGCAATGCTGTATGGTGACACCCAGTTGTGTTTCCCCATTTGGCGAATTTTTTTCCACTACGTAGTTAAGGTTATCTCCTTCTTGCGCTTCCACAGGTGGTGTCTTTTCCGTGGTTACATCGGTGTGGACTGAAAAGGGGGTGTCCTCATCTACATTGCCTTTAATTTCATAATCATTGTTGACGCTTCCCTTCTCTTTCTCATCAGAATGGTTATAAACAAATTCATTCTCAGCCAAAGCGGCATATCCAGCATTGCTGCTAATATTTCTCCACTTTGTTTTGCCACTATTGCTCGAATTGGCACTGTCTCGCGTTGGGCTCATCTGGGTTGACAGCTGCTTCTCCACGTTGCCCAGAGTAATGTCCCCCTCATTTGGGAGTTCCGTCGGTGTGTCCTGCCCCACAGGTAGGAGCTCCTTGGGGGCATTTTTCTTCGCCTTCTTTTTGGCTCTCTTTTTTGCCTTTTCTTTTTCCCTCTTTTTCTTAGTTTTACAATTTTTCACATTTTTCAAATTTTTCAAACGTTTCAAACTTTTCGAATTTTTAAACTGTCTGAAGGGCTTAAAATATTTGAACGTTTTTAAGGTGTTAAAATTCTTGGACGATTTTTTCCTCTTCTCGTTTGATTTCGTTTTGTGTAAAACTTTTCCTTTTTTACATCTGCTGGTTGTTTTTCTTTTTTTTGGCTCTTCATTTCCTGAACATTTATCTTCCAAGGGAGTTCCTCCTGTTGCTTCTTCCATTTTGGGAGGCTTTTAAGCGTGGGGGCGCGAAGGGGCATATGCTGCGTCCCTATGCTGCGTCATACATAGCACAGAGGCATGCATGGGGGTATGCAAAGTGGATCGGCCGAGTGAGCGGAACAGTGGGTGGCACAACTCTTTACACACAATTGCTTGGGTAACTTCTACCTTCCACGTCGCAAAAATGGATGCACCTCTATAGTGGGTAGATATATCCCTTTAAAGCACAAAATGATAGCGGTAGGGAAGGTATAGCATAAGGTGGTTGTGTGGTTGATCCGAAAAGGGACACCTTACACGAATTGTATAATGTGGTCGCAGATTTTCAGAGGCTATACGCACACATACTGCCTTGTTATGCACGCGCGGACGTGCTAGTAGAACGCACCTTAAAATTTTTTTTTTTTTCACTTTTTGCATGAAATGAACCCTTACATGTGGATTGGCTTCTCAAACTGCGTAGAACAGATTTGGCGCGGGGACTTACATTCGGAAAAAAAGAAAGAAGGAGATGATTTATGATAAAATGTTGCAAAGCGTTGTAAAATGTTTCAAATTGTTGTAAAATGTTGCAAAGTGTTGTAAAATGCTGCAGGATGCTGCATGGTGCTGCGAATGAAATGTGACTTGATGGCGTGGCCCTCCCCATGGGGACCCCTTCGACAGAATAATTCTTGCGACGAATTTCCAACCGTATTAAGCGTTTTCTTAAATTGAAAAATGTAGATGCAAGCATAAACGCATTCACAAATTGTCAGCGTGAGGATGTGACAAAAAAATGCAAGTTCTTTTGAACATATTTTTTTAAAACAACTTTTTTTTTTTTTTTTTAAATAATTTTTGGAAAACTCAAAATGAACGAGCTGTTCTGTTTTTTCCCCAATTTACGGGACCTTGCAAAGAGTTCAGGCAGAACAAGGGCGGTTCTTTTTCTGGCATGCTTCTTCTTCCTTTTCTTCTTCCTTTTCATCCCAGTTAAAACTACCACTCCGGGAATTTTCCCCTCGGTTAGCAGTCGCATGGTGCATACTTGCACGTCTTGTGCGTACGGCGGGTTAAGAAGGAGGGACACAGGTTAGAAGACAGAGGCCAGAAGCGGTTAGAAATTATTACCAGCGAGGAATATAAAAAAAAAAAAATTCTACATCAAGGGAAGAACAAACAGTCTGGTAGAACATGCATGCGTGAAGGAGCAGTGAACAGGAAGTTTCCCCTTTGTCAATTTGTGCGGCCTGTTCTGTTCAGCAATTCTGTGAGAAGTGCCATTTTTTGAGAATAATTGTACCGTACAAAGAAATACCCATGTGTATGCAAAGGTCTGTATTAATTCTACGCAGTTTCTATTTTTTTTTTTTCTTTTCTTTTTGAGGCTAAGCCCACGACACGTATATAGACTGGTGCGAACGAAACGGGTGCAAATCCAAGTGCACGGAATTATTCCTCACCTGTTTGCTTCTTCTGAGTTCTTAGGCAGTTTGTTCATTCGTCTTTTTACTCATTCTTTCATACTTTTTTTTCTTTTTTTTTTCCAATTAAAGGTGCGGCGATGAATGCGTTAAATTATTTTCCACTCGAGTGCACCCCAATTTGTTCTACTCACCTGTGCCAGAATTTACAGAGGCGTAATGAGCATATGAATTCCTTTTTTTAATAAGTAAAAATGAATGCGTGGCACAAAGATGTGCATATTCTATTTTTTCTTTTTTAACTGCGAAGGAGTAATCGTACGCGGGCGTCGCTCAGAAGAAGAACATGTTTCACGTATTATATCTGTGCATTAGTTTTGCGCTTTTTTTTTTTTTTTTTTTTTTGATTCCCCCTTTGGCCGTTCCATTTGTTCTACTCCTTTTTCTGGAATACTCCATGGCACAAATGTGTGTTCGGGAAAGCATGTCCTTCTGTTCTATGAACTTTTTTAAAAAATGTTATCGTGAGTTCATCAATATGTTCATGACATGAAAGGACCATTTTTCCCTCGCGCATGGCCATATGTATGCTTCTCCCACGCCGCGTCAAAACTGTTTTGCAATTCTGCACAATTGGAATTACCTGAAAAGGCATTGCTTTAATGGGAAATTCACCGACATTTTGAAGAAAATAGGCCAATGTGACTTGAAACAATTCTTGTACTGATGGTACTCACGGGGGGGGCAGATGCATAATAGGGAATTCAACCGGGTGAATTATACTGGGTTTCTTTTTTTTTTTTTTGCAATCGTGGGGGGAAATAAATTCCCAACACTTTAATAGATGAGCCCTTGAGCATTCACATATGCTCTGCTCTGTGTGGAACGGACAAGCAGCACAAAATGAATTCTGCTCATATCCCTCGCCACATTTCGCATCGTAAAGGTAATCACTCCGTGTGTTATTTCCTCCCACTCAATTTCCCCCCCTTAAAATGTAAAAATGTCCTATTTTCCAGGTGTATATCAAAACAGGGGGACTAAACTGTGGCAGGAAAAGCTTATGAACAAGTTCCTAGCAATTTTGCTTTCCCCACTGGAATGGTTCCTCCTTCGCGGGGATATAACTCTCAAATGAATGTCGAATGAAATGCTACTTACAAGTAGAAGGGGTGCAAACCAGTGGTGCCCAATTTTACACACCCTGCTAGTGAAGGGAGCGGAAAGAGTGTTAAAAACTTCAATTCAAATTGGCAATCATTTTTCCCTTTTCATGTGACAGTGGGGATACTGGTGCATACGAAGAAGTTATGCATTTCAGCTTGTAGCCTCAAAGAATATAATGTAAAGTATCCCCTTTTCTCAGTAAAAATTGTAGAAAAGGTTAGCAGTAGGGAAAAAAAGGGAAAAAAAGGGAAAAATAAGGGAAAAAAAAAGAATAAAAGAAGAAAAGAAAACTAAAAGAAAAACAAAAGAAAAGCAAAAGAAAAGCAAAAGAAATAAAAAAAGGAAAAAAAAGAGTCCCCTTTACACGCACTACCCATACACATTCCAACTTCTAATGAAAAGTGATATCTATCCTTTCGCAATGAAGGGAAGAAAAATACCATTTATGTCAGTTGAAAAAAAAAAAAAAAAAACAAA